ATATGTTTGTTAAATAATGTTGTGATGATATTATTGAATATAATTATCTTATTATCTACAACTTGTTCGTTATATAAATGGTGCCAAGATATACTTTGCAGGTCCTGTCTAAAATGGTCTAAATTAAAATTACGAAAACTCGGAAACGTAATAATTTTTGGAGGTGGTTTGATTGTTTTTAAATTCAACACTACATATACTAATTTATGGCCTGATATATCCTCTGTGGGCATGGTTCCAAAAGAGGCAACAAAATTAATATCGTTAATAAAAATAGGATCAGAGTACTTGTCCTGTCCGTAACTCGAGTAGGTTCATTTAACAGTTGTGTTAGGCCATAAGATTCAAAACAATTTGATATGGGATTATTAAGACTTAAAAAATTTACATTAAAATCACCCAGGCAAACAAATACGTCACAAGTAGGTGTTAAATTTGATAAAATATTGTCATAATCTTGAATATAACTATTAATATTTGTATTTGGTGGTCTATAAAAGACCGCTAATATTAGAGTTCTGGAAAATAATTTTACTTTCAAAAACAAACACTCAAGAGTACTATTATCAATAAAATCCAACAAAACATCCTCACCGCCCAAGTGCGACTTCACATATGCCGCAACACCACCTCCTCTTCGCAGCCTATCTCTCCTAAAAATTGTATAACCGGGAATAAATATCAATCCGATATCATCGCTAGCCGACAACCACGTCTCTGTAACCATTACAATATCAAAGTATATATCTTATTTATTAGAGTAGCATAGAGTGAGTGATAAGATGTTAATACTAAAGAAAAATAAAATTTAAATCAAATGAGAGATATATAGTAAATGACAAGACACCCTCAGAACAAAGAAACAATTGAAGCAATAGAAAAAAAAGTTTTTTAAATTATTATATATTTTATATTAAAAAGAAATAGAAATATCCGCGCACTATAAAGATCGCCCCACAATCAAGAGTCCCCACTCAATTCCAAGTTAACAAATCTTAAAAACAAGTTAATGTAATTTGGCCTTAAAATAAATTTTATTCAATAAAAATGTGCAAAAAATGATCAAAAGATCAGCACAATATACGGAAGTCCACCCACAGCTTATTCTGCAGTCCAATGTACCAAAAAATTATAATTAAAAAAAACATAAGAGTCCTGAATCAATCAAAAAGAACTAATTTTTTTTATACCACATTTCCATCTTTTACGTAACAAATTTATATTTATTGCAATTAGAATTTAACCAGAATGAAAAAATATGCTATTCTTCCCCACTACGTAGTTGACACAGAACAGCCTATTTTTGAATACAATTCTACACAGCAAACAAACCATAACAATGGGCATAAAACAGCATTTTCCCATACTTAAAAAATTATTAACAAATTGTTGGATTTCATTTTATTATACTGTTACTCAAACAAAAATTTTCTAAATTATTACACCAAATTTTCATTTCGTATGAGGATAATATAATTTGAGTCCGATTTAGAGTTTAATTAAGAATTAAAATTATTCATTTGGCTGCAACACAACATATAGTGTAAACAACACACTATCCAAATAAAGTTTTATACCAACAATAGAACAATAATAAATCCAAATAATAGGCATTATTCTTTATCATACATCCAAAAAAAAAAATTTGAGGAATTGATTTTCAAGATAATTGCACATAGAGATGAGTTACAAAATAAATATAATTTTCTATTTTTATCAAACATGATGATAATTAAAGACCTGTTTAAATTCACTATTAAAGTTGTTACTATGTTATTATCAGTTTTTAGCCAGTATCACTAACCTTGCATTCGGATTCACAAACCTGGGGATATTGTGATTAATTAGTAAGATCCGCCTCACTTTTAATTTTCATTTTTACTCCGGAAACCTCCGCGTACACCAAACCACTATATGTCCACGCCGATTTAGAATGAATATTTCTAGTTAGTTTGAAGAGATGCATATTTTGTGGCGTTAACATCTCGGTTATAACTTTACCAGAGCCCTTTAAACGCTTCTTTTCACGAAAAACAAGGTCGCGCGTCCATCGACGACAAAACTGAACACCAATTGGCCTGGAATTCTTTTTTGTTGCGTCCCTTTTTCCAATTCTATAAATATTTGATATATCCAATTTATTTATCTGAATATTTAATTTGTTTATAAATAAATCAATGATGGTTGCATATACATCAGGAGTGTTTTCTTCGATACCATGAATAAGTAAATAATAATTATTATTCTCTAATTGCATTTTGTTAATCTGCTGTTGGATGTTCTTAACGTTTGCTTTTACCTCTGTGATGTCCTTGATTAATGATTGCATCGAAACATTCAAACTATCTTGGAATGTTTTAAGTTGGTTTTCAAATGTGGAGCCACTGCTTTCAGTTTCTGAGGTAGATATGAAATTTTGAGTACCTTTAAATTTCGTGAACTCTTCATGTAAAAGCTTTAATCCTTGATTAAATTCCACTGCTAGTTTTTCGACTCTCGTACTGAGATTTTCACCCGCCATTGCCACATGCGTTGCTTCACTTGCTCTAGTTATTCTTCCACGGGCATTCATTGTACCAACGATTAACCAAACGGCACTTTAACTTAACTGGCACAGAAAACACCGAATTATATTAACTATTTAAAGGTATGACTCTAGTAAATTTAGAAAATATTTGGAGCTGCACAAGCACGCGGTCATCGACTTAACAGCGCCATCATCCAATGTTGAATCTTGAGCTTGAAACAACTTCCATGTAATTAGAGGATATACCGTTTGTGATGAAAAAATTTAAGACGTCTGGAATTTTATCATGATCAGTTGGCCAATAAGTAGGGGTACCGGTTGAAAGAAAAGAGTAGTTTTTTTCGTGAATGGCATTAGCTAGTTCTCTGCCTTTAGTTGTTGTCAGGCGCGAACCAAATATGGTGTGTTTAGAATTGTAGAATGTTTTGTTTTGATCTACATTTTTTTCTTAGATCATACAGCACTTTTAGCATTTTTTAATTCAAATAAACATTCTTTGCAGTGTCAATTCAATCAAGTCAATCCCACCTGTGTAAATTTCCAAGGTAATTTAAAAATCAGATTTAATATCTACTAATACTGTATGATAGAAAAAAATCAGAGTCCAGTTGGCTTGGTAAGTGAAACAGATATTTAGAAATAACATAACGCAACCGTTGCTACTTCTAAAAAATAACAGATATAAAATAACGACACGTAGAGATCGACCGCTCGCGAAACGAAGTCGGCGCTCTGCATCGCCACGAAATCCTATGCGACTCGAAGCAATTCCAAAAAATAACTAGTATGAAATCTGTTATTTCGACAACCATCGATAACGGACGGCGCGCCGACAGTCGAGATACAACGGAGTGGGGAATGCGCTACGGCAAACGTTGCGGCATCGGTCGATGGTCCTGTTGGGCTCGCAACAGCTTAAAAATAACAGTATATAAAATAAGCAGCTTTTTTTAAACAGTTGCGGGCATAACGCGTGGCGGTGATGGCGGTCGTGATAACCGGAGTGGGGAAGTAACGCTGCTGCATCAGTTGTTGGGCCCGCAACAGATTGGAGAATAACGTATAGAAAATAAACAGTTGTTTTAAATACATTGTTTTTTAACCTGTTACGAGCATAACGGGCGGCGGCTGAGATAAGCGGACCTGGAAAATAATAGCTTTTTCGCCTGTGTAGGTCGATCGCGGTGTACGGTGGCGTTAGAATTTAATTATTTAATATTTAATAATTTTTTTTTTCGTAAAATAGTTTGAAAGTGGTTTTATTTTATCGGATTTCTGGCTATTTTTTGGTATCAATAATGCATGGTAAATAAAAATAATTATTAATTATAACTGAATTAAAGAAAATTGTCTTGATTAAGCTTCTGTTATTAGAATCGTTTTGAGCAAGTTTATTTTACTATTTTGCTTTCTGCAAACTTATTTCTATATATTTATTCACATTTTAAAGTTTTTGTTTTGTAAGTTTCAGTCGAGGTTTCAGTACTCCTATATAGTTATTAAGTTTGTTATTAAGATACTTGGTTATTTTTATTAAAATTTTAAAATATGTTTTTGCTACGTTTAAAAACTCTTCAATGACAAATTTTACTAGACCAATAATGATATCAACAAATTGTTAATGGTGATTAGAAATTTAGTTATTAGAGAACAACGGCATACGGTCGAGTCGGCCGCTCCTGGCACGTATACGTAGACGTAAAGAATCCTTTACGTGTATAAAAAAATAGAAAATATAGGAAATGCGCATGCGTACGTAAACGTTTACGTGTTTGTAGGCCGATTCGACCGTATGCCGTTGTTCTCTATTAAATGAATTAGAACTTTTGTGATTAGAAATATTAAGTGCTTTTCAACTACTTAAATAAATAAAGACTGTCTAAGCTATTTTTTTTAATATTAGTAATATTGATTTTTTTAATAATTATTTTCTTAATTATTAATAATATAATAAACATATTCTAAAAATTAGAACAGAGTTTAATTTGCTTATGAATTTTAAGTATATTATTTTTTATTAAGAAATAAATATGAAGATTTTATGGTTACTTTAGGTGTTTAACGTTAAAGTCAAAAAATAACAGAAACCTGTTATTTTAAGCTGTTATTTATAAATAACAGTAACAGTTGCAACTGTTATTTAAAAATAACGGTTTTTCCCACCACTACTTGGAAATGACGATCGATGACATTCCCCATATAACTGACCATATAAAATGACATCGCTCTTCGTTCCATAACCATCGGTGACGCCGTTTTTTTTATCGTTTGGTAGTTATCTAATGGCCGTTTTCCCAGCACTTATTAAGGTTACTTTAAATTGATTGGAACCAATGACAAGCAAATTTAAAAAGTCACAAATGAAATCACATTCAAAGCTATACTTAACTTGAAGTAACCTTAATAAGTGCTGGGAAAACGGCCATAATTTACTTATCTAAGAAAACATGTAGATACAAAAAAACACACTCACCTTATGCTTATATTTATTTAAGGCTTCCCTACATTTTGTAATTAATATACTCTCGTCAGTTTCCAATTTAAAAGAAACGACAAATGCATGAGGAACCCATAAATTTACTAGGGGAGCCAAAAGTTTTGGAACAAGCTGTAATTGAATATTTGGAGCTGTTCCACCTGACTGAATTTTGTGTGTTGGCTAAAATTTAGAATGTTGACAACATAAAATATGAATGCATGTTTTTAAAACTGTTAGTTAAGTTAGTTACCATTTGATTTGCTGGAACATAAAAATCTGAAACCGCAGCAACTAGAAAGAGTAAAGCCCTGGATCCAAACTGAGCTAAACTTTCTGAAGCTGCCCTTAACAACCAGAAATAATCTGACACGGTAGTAAAGCTAACATACAAAATTCTGCCATTTTCTTGTGCAGCTTTGTAACTGGCTAGAATAGGTGCCAGAACATCTACACTGTCTGGTTTAACTAAAACAAATATACAATATAATCGAAAAAAAACGGAATCATAGATGGCTATGAAATGAAGATTGCTGTCATTTTATATGTAAAATTATATGGAGACTGTCATCAATCGTCATTTCCAAGCCAACTGGACGCCTTTTTTTTCAATCATAAACTTAATAAAATGTATATTAAAATAAAATAGGTATATTAACTACCTAAGTATATATAACGTACCAGTAATAGTGGTATTAGGTCCTCTTTCATGTAATTCCAACATATCCATAAACTTTTGTCCATTAAAATGTCTGGTAAAAGGTTCGAGGCTTTTAAGACGATGCATAAAGATAACAACATATCCATGTTCCAAGTAATATTCTGCACTAGCGGCTCCCCTTGTCCCTGCACTGAAATTGTCCACAAATCTTACAGTATTGTGTTCGAGTGGTACAGTTGTGCCTCCAGACTGAAAACGAATACACGTTTCTTAACATAAAGAATATTTTAATTCAAGAAAGCTATAAAGATTGGAGAAAACATGAAATTTTATGACTAAATAAATTCTATAGCAAAGTTTCTTATGTTATATCTGAATGCATTTCTAACACAAAATCACTTCTGAAATCTTTCATATTAACTATAAAATAAGTGAATGTAGCAATTTTTAATAGAAAAATAAAGGCATAACCTATCAACTTACAGTTATTAGAACTATTCTTTCGTTGTTTCTATTATGCCTTTCGCAAAATTCTTGAAGTAATTTCCTGTTATCTTCAAAATCAGTTGGAGGTAAATGAGTAGCATAGAACTCTTCCCAGTGTGAAGACATTTTCCAAATAAAAAATGGGATAATTAAAGTTTCTTCAGTAATCTTTTACATGCCTGCACATTCACCTGTTCGCATCATAGTCAATAGCTATGGTATGGTCAATAGTCAATAGTTCACATCTATGGTTCACATTTCACATCCCAAATACAATTTCGGTATATTCTGTAACCAAATGACAACAATGACAACGTTGTCCATTAAGTTATTGAATTTGATGTTCCAATTCAAAAATAGATAATACGCAGCGACGATGCCAGACTGCTTAATGAAAAATCCTTATTTAACACCAATATAAGAAAAATCAATGACCTTTGGAAACTTTGGATTACAACAAAGTTTACAACGTTTAATTTTAATTTATACCTATTATCAAGGGTATTATTACTATTATAGTAGTAATTGGTATTTACTAATTTTAAAATATCTGAATAACTAGTACTTTCCATTAAAAATTCATATACAAGGTATAATAATAGGTATATAATCCTATTCAAACTTAGTTAAAATACAGTTTCAGTATATCTCAATCAATCTAATAAGTTAGTCTACAAGTCTATAGTACCTCTCTCTTAGGTACAACGGTACAACACTTTTTTGGTTGTCTTAGAAATACATTTTTTTTTAATTAGCCAAAAAATTGAGTAAAATAAGATACAATAAGTTATAGCCTAGTTATAAGAAACAGCAAATTACACTTTTACAATTTTATTTTAAATAAGTATTCTATAATAAACTATACAAATTATATTGAAAATTCTCCCATCTAATATTTTGGTGCTGGTGTTTCTGGTGCACTTCCACTAGGAACATAAAACTGAAACAAAAAGTTGTAGGTATACTTTAAACTTTAGGCATATTCAAATACATTTAACGTTCTTAGAGTTAATATTGGTAAATATATGAACATACACACCTTATACTGTTTAGCTCTATATTGTTCGTTGGATACTTCACCAGTTCTGTTCCACTGGACATCTGGGTTACGAAGAGCTAGCCTGGCTGTGTATAGGAGAGCACCGCCACATCCAAGTCCAACACAAACATACAGAGGGATCAACTATTAATAGATAAAATATGAACATGGTTATACAATATATATATATATATATATATATATATATATATATATATATATATATATATATATATATATATATATATATATATATATATATATATATATATATATATATATATATATATATATATATATATATATATATATATATATATATATATATATATTATTATATATATATATATATATATATATATATATATATATATATATATATATATATATATATATATATATATATATATATATATATATATATATATATATATATATATATATATATATATATATTATATATATATATATAGCATACATTAATAATTGTATAATATAGATATATATTATAAATATAATATAGCATACATTAATAATAGTTCAGTGCTAATAATTTCGAATACATTCGATATGAACTGGCAATCAATGATTTGAAGGAGAAGAGTATTATTAGCTACATAGATATTTAGGTACATGAGTATGTACTTATGATGAAAATAGCAACCACATAATAATCTGTAACCGATTTCCTAATTTTATCCATAGATACTTACAGCTTTGTGCTTTTTAAGGGATTGAAAAGACATTCCCTGCATGTTGTCTGCCTTTTATAAATTTCTTTTGAAGAATTTAATAAAAATGATTAAGTAATCGGGCAATCGACAGTCACTTATCATTGAATGTCAAAATCACAAAGTCAAAATCATAAAGTCAAAATTTTGACAGTAATTTTTTTAACTATCTTAAAAGCCCAAGCTACCAGGACTATCCGGCCCATTGAATAAAAGCCGGCCTGTGTTTTGGGCCTGTGTAATAGTCTTGTACAGCAGTTGTACAGGGTTCGGAAAACTACAATGTTACTTTTAAAAACTACATAAACTACATTACATGTAGTTAATGTAGTTTATGTAGAGGGTGTAGTTTATGTCACCTATGTAGGTAACTTTGAGGGTGCAGCCACACTATCCTAAAAACGGTGTATCGGCGTAACGGCGTAATGACCTTGAATAGATTTCCAGTAATTCTATTGGCTGAAACATTCATCTGTCAGAAATTTTATCTGTCAAATTCATCTGTCAAAAATTTCAGCCAATAGAATTTCTGGAAATCGATTCAAGGTAGTTACGCCGTTACGCCGATACGCCGTTTTTAGGATAGTGTGGCTCAAGTGTGGCTGCACCCTCAAATATCAAAGGTTTGAAGTGAGGTTATAATAAGTTGCAGCTTTAAAAACACATTATGTGTTTAAGAAAACAGAAGAAATATGGCTTTAAATATAATATTTACATCATATTATCTCGATTACACCTCATACAAAGGAAAATTATTCATAATATCAATACATAATTTATTAACGTAGTTTTTACCTTTTCATGTAGTTAATGAACGGGAAAAGACGTAGTTTTTGAAGAAAAACTACAAGTAATTAATCAGGTAAATTACGTCTTAATTAACTACTTCCGAACCCTGGTCTTGTATAAGTAAATTCTCTTCTTCCAATTTTTTTTTGGCTTGGTACTCTGGCGGTTTTGCAAAATATTTTGTAGCCCAACTATGACCTGCTACGGTTCTGTTATGAATGGTGCCCGGCAGAAAATGAAATAGTCTCTGTCTGTAAAATTTTTTTGACACGCACACAGGACACACACTGCTCATTCACGCCGGTTTGAAGACGAATTGAGATCGGATATCTCGTGAGTAAGAGTCGATTTTTAGACACTCACCAAGTCATTAGGCCATTGACCATGAAATGGCCGAAGACCGCTGTTCGGATTCCGCGTAAACAAAGTAAGCCCTGTCCAGATTAGCCCTGGCAGCAACAAGGATATACCAGAGATATAGATCTCTATATCTCTGTTTAGAACCAAAGGCTTAAGCCCCGTTCTCAGAACTGCGTCGTGTCGACAGCGACACTGATTGACACTTCAAACGACCAATGGGAGCTGTACTAAATTTAAAATTGACAGCTGTTTGAATTTTGTACAAATCTCATTGGTCCTCTTGACGTGTCGCTGGCGACAGTCGCTGTTCTGAGAACGGGGCTTTAGAACGGTACCATACGGTAGAATATACATATATATGTATACAGTCCTTGGGATTAGAAATGGGCAAAAGTAACCGGTTTTTTGAATAACCGGTATTTTCCTCTAAAATAACCGGTTATTTAAAGGTAGTTTTTTTTTCACCAGTTAACCTAATAACCTTGCATTACGTTCAATAACCTATAGCCGGTTATTTTTTAAAAAATCGTACTTGTTTAAAACAAGTAACCATTAAATATTAACTGTTTGAATCGTAAATTTCGAAGAAGCGAACGGCACGGATCTTCCAGATATTACGACGATAACGGGAGATCCCGCTCCCACTCCCAAAACGAAAATATAATATCTATATCAAACATCAAATGTCAAAATTAAATCAGGCATCAGGCGAACCCTGATGATAATAATCAAAACAACGGCCGAATGGCCCTGACAGGTCAGGCCGTAAAACAAAGTACTAATGGCATAGACTACTACTAGCCACCAGCTAGCCAAGTGATACGAACCCATGGTACAAAGAAAACAAGGTATGATCGATAGCGGCTCCAATTTCGTTAAGTTTGCGCATACCACCTGTGACGTCATACGCCATACAAAAAAAATATCCGTATTGTTCAATTGCCACTAATAAAAAAAAAAACCTAAAATAGGGGGAAGAATTAGGACATAACCCCAAAAGTTATGTCAAATCATTGAGCTTGACATTTGAAAAATTATTTTCACATTTTTTGTGTCATCTGTTTGACAATTTGAAATTGGCGCGCGGAGCTTGCCGACCAATGGTACCGTTTATCACCTGTGACGTAGTGACCAACCTGCGCAATATCATACCTTTTATTCTTTGTATCATGATACGAACCTAACTTCAAATAGATTCTCTAAATTCTATATTTAAATTTTAACCGACTTTAACGGATTTTCAACGATTCTTCAAAAGTTTTCCATGGTTTCGCCCAGTTTCACCCACGTTTCGCCGTAAATATATTTTATTTGTAGTTTGAAGTCTCTCTTGAAGCTTAGACTAAAGAATACAAAATTGAAGTTCAAGTAATGAATGAAGATAATATTTCATTAACTATTCATTCAGTCTCCTTATTTTTCTTTTGGTATTTGATTAAAATAACTTGGTTGTAGATTGTAGAACTTGTGGAGTTGTGTGGTTTATTTGAACGTTAAGTAATTACTAGTTTTAATATCATATCCATGTCTACTCAAAAAGTGAGGTTAGCATTTTATTTAAATTCATTTTGTACATATACATACTTACATTGCTACAATCTCTATTTAATCATGCGATTTAACTAAGTTTATTATCTAAATTTGAAGTAGACCTATGGAGTGTAGAGGTAAGTAAACCTATAGGAAAACTAAATATTTAGTTTTGCTAGGTTAGGTTATTTGAATAACCGGTTAATATGTGTCGGTTAATTTTGTCAAGTTATTATTTTTTAAAGATAATTCCGGTTAGCCTATAACCGGTTTTTTACCAATAACCGCCCATCTCTACTTGGGATAGCATTATGCTCCTTCCTAGTCTTCTTATTTAAAGCCATAAAATAATTAACTACTGTGTTAAATCGTGGAAACACGATACGCCACCGAAAGCCTTCGTTGTCGTCTGGAGAACTAATTTTCCAATTGACAGGTTGACATGATAAGGACATGATGGCTAAATTTTCATTTCCGTTTCCGGTTATTCAATGGCGGACCCTATTTCAGTTCAAATGTATTTTGTATTTTTTCTTTTCATAAATAAAACCAAAAAATAATTTATTCACATATATTTATTTGAAATATGGAACAACGTGACTAAATAAATATAAAAATATAGAGGATTGTATTGTTTCAATACCAATTAGTTAATTACATGTACTTTTAACGTAAATTAGTTAAGGTATAAGCATGACTTTTATACTAAAATTAACAATGTAAAAATATCAATAGGTATAAAATATAAATATACTGTTTAAAAAAGCGTCCATTATTCCCAAAGAGGCCTGGCTTATAAATCAAAAAGAAGCAAAAAGAGACTTTTAGTCGGATAACATAATCAGATTATCAGTCCGATTTATTGCATTATTGACAATAAATCGCACATACTGGAGATAACTAATGTTGGCTATAGTTAACAATGATCTTACCTTGCTGTAAATTGCTTCCATTTTCAGAAAAATCGCCGATCAAAGATATTATAATACCCTTTTCTTGCATCTAAAAAATGTAAAAACAGTGTTTATTTACTACCTATTTTTCATATACATGGGACATACCTACTACTGCAGAAACGTCGTTTTCTCCAGGATTCTTCATGTAATATATATTTTATATACTTTATTACCATTATATTTATAAATTTCAGCCGAAATATTAAATTGAACTTCCAAAAGAAAGTAAACGGAATGAATTAAAATGGCGTCGAATATTTTCGAATTTGTTCTAGAACAAATCTGAAGTTGTCTCTGAAACTGAAATCTGTCAATTCTAAACTGTGAAGTTAGACAATAGTTAGACAAAAACAATGCTGTCCTTGTCTAGGCGGCCATACTTGTCGTGAAGAGAATGACAGGAATGACACTAATGACTGTTTCCAATTTTCCTATTTCACTGTCACCCCCCTGTTTAAAGCTGGCAGATGTTGCTTTCTTTGTCGTTTATCCTGGCACGTTTAAATTTGACTGTTGCCCGTTTTCCCATACAAGTGCCACCCCCATGCAGTACACCAAAGTATACTTTGTTCGAATACTTATTCCACTCGCGATAAAGGCTGTTAATCCTCTGATATCTCTCTTCGTGCTCGTTACTGCTAAAGTGAAGTAATATGGGATGTGGGATAGTTACCGAATGTATACGTATTTACTGCGGCGTGTCCAGTAACTATGTAGAAGGATATTACATTGTGTCATTGTGACGGCCGAATAATCCGGGCAGCTTAGGCCGTAAAACCAATCAAAAAGAAGAGAAGACTGACAAGTGACAGTACAACTGTCACTAAGAAAAACAAATAAAAATGTTTGGATTAGAGTTTTAAAAATAAAAATACCAAAAACAGTGCATTTCTAATTACAACATTGTAAGATGTATATTAAACAGGTTTGTAAATTTTTATTTGGAATAATAACAAAATTAATTTTATTTTTCTACGTAAATAGGTGATCATACAAGGCTTCAAAAGTTACCGAGATCAAACTGTTGTTGAGCCTTTTGATAAACGCCACAATGTAGTTGTAGGTCGTAATGGATCAGGAAAAAGTAACTTCTTTTATGGTAGGTCCTCTATGTTTATATGTTATGGATATAATAATTTTCGTTTGCAATCTATTTGCTAGTGTGTGGTTGCCATAATATTGCCTCTAGTAATTTGTATCTAATATTTCAGCTATACAGTTTGTCCTAAGTGATGAATATTCTCATTTAAAACCTGAACAGCGGCAGTCTTTATTACATGAAGGAACTGGCCCACGAATTGTAACAGCTTATGTTGAAATAATATTTGATAATTCTGATGCAAGAGTACCAGTAAGTAGTTTATGTATAATAACATACCTATTATGACTACTATAACTACATCCCTCGCAGTACACATAAATTTTGATATTTTAGATTTGTAGTAGGTACTACACTGTCTTATTTTAAATTTGTAATTTTTGTTTTTATCAAACATAAATCATATTTAAATTTCTCTTTATAGATTGAACATGAAGAAATTTATCTCCGGCGTGTTATTGGTGCTAAGAAAGATCAATATTTTTTAAATAAGAAAGTTGTGCCAAGAAGTGAAGTTATGAATCTTTTGGAATCCGCTGGGTTTTCAAGTTCTAACCCATATTACATTGTAAAACAAGGAAAGGTATGCTTCTATTTTGCCTATTTACAATTTTCTCTAGGGTGTCTTTAGTGTTGGCTCAACTCAATATATACATACTTTTTTCTAGAGGTATGGGCAAGTGCCCCACCTGGCCTAAGGTAGCTAGACGTTCATGCCTGTTTATTAAATGCTTGAATTACCATTATTTATGGTTTGATCATGATATTGGCTTGTTACAAAGTAGCTAGTGACTAAGTTTGAAGTAGGGGGCCATCCATAAATTATGTCACATGAAACTTTAGGACTTTTGAACCCCTTCCCCGGTCCTTGTCACAGGTTGTCACATTTTTAGAACCCCCTCCCCGCTTATGTGACGTCACATATTTTTCAAATTTATGCATGTATTAAAAAATCATTAAAACAAAACAGTTATTTTATTTTATTTTTCTTATTTTTACGACTAAAGCTTGATTTTCATGCATCCGTTGTTCGACGATACGTTGATACAATATTAATTTTATTGGTAGAATTTAAAGACCTAAATAATAAAGACTAAACTTTGTTGCGTGAGATAACCTCATAGCGAAAGTGCTTAATTATTAATAAATATAGATCAAAGTAGCAACTTTTTAAAGCTTTTTTTACATAATATATAAATTTCGTGCTTTACTATTTTAAATTTTAACATGTTACGTCACAAAACTTTTGGCCCCCCTGCCGCTTGTTACACTATGTCACATTACGGTGATTTAATCTGGTTTGTGTCACAATGATTGTGATTATGTCATAATTGTGACATACAAATACCCTGGGAGGTGTAGCACATGTCCAGAAGATTCACTATTATTACAAATAATAAAAAGATAATTGGATTAAATAAGAAAAGACATATATCATCACACCAAACCAAACCGATTCTGCTTTTTTTCTAGCTACAGGGATTTAAAATCTTCATTTTTTTTTCAATTTAATGTAATTTTCTTAATGCTTTAAGCGATTCAAATGAAATTCGGGGGGTAAAAGTTACTATAAGTGCAACATATTTTAATGTTAAAAAATGTCGACAAATTTACCAGGGACATGCATATGGCTTATCATGGGAATATTTTTGTAAAAAAAAACAGTCGCCACTGACTTTTTTCTCTTGATAGTACAATAATTGTGTAGGCCATTATTTAATGGCGCTTAATAGATATTTTGTCAATTTCAGTCTTCTTGATAAGATAAACACAATTTTATTAATTTGCCTTGATCCAAGACTAATAGCACATATTATACAGATTATATAAACTTTGTTTTTTCTTTATTGTTTTTCGTGGTTCCAATTTTCGGAATCGGGCACTAGTTAGGTTACTAGTTTGCGCACATAGCACGCCCACTTATGGCCTCTAAAATTATGCACAGCGCCTGACCCAAGAACGGTAAACTAATAGGATTGCTCATCCTCATAAGACGTCCGTTCAGCTCCTCCTCATAAGACGTCATTGTAGTCCTTGTCAAAGCCTTGTTGGCCTTGTCATGATAGTGTGTATTATTATAGTCTGTCCAACGAGAAGATCCTTGACAGTGATAGATGTGTCTGTCATTTTAATTTCAAAGTAGTTTATTTTATTTTACAAAGAAATAAGTTGGTACAACTGGAATGCATAGCGATATATTTAAAATTTGATTGACAAGATGACAAGTGATTACTTCAAAATATTGTGAAAAAAACTGTATAAAACTGAAAAAATGTAATCGAGTTATTTTATTCAATAAAAACGGTATGTGTTAATACAAAACAAACAAGAACAAGACACTACATACCAAAAAAATATAAAAAAGGTGATGCTGGGAACTGCTGTTCTTAAAAAATGCATTATCCGAGTATTTAATACGATTTATACAGTTAATTTTCTATACTGCATACATATAAGGTGTTTAAATAAATAAACTAAATAATGAACGTTTTGCATTCGGCAACCAATAATGCACGTGTTTGTATTATTGGTTGCCGGATAAGGACTAATAACCATGACAAGGACTACAATGACGTAACAATGCGAGTAGTTTTCGCATGCACCTGGCGGACACTATAGGCTGAATGAGCAGTCCTATTAGGTTAACTGTTCTTGCTCCTGACCGGCACAGTTATTAGAGAGATATCGGAAAACCGAATAGCGTCATGCAGTATTTACGCGTACCTTATCATGGTTACGATATGCGCGAGTCAATTTTTAACGCAACACCCGCTAATAACGTTACCGTCTGACGTAATTTGCAGATCAATTACACTAAGTGCTATTTCTAAATAACGTTTAAAAATTGCTTAAATGGGCATGTGCGGGTATTTGACAACCGGAGCCGGCCGGCGAGATCTTTTATTTTAAGTTATGTTTGAATTGTTTTGAATTATTACTTTAGTTTTATTAGATAATTTAATATTTAAGTAGCTGGGATTAGTTATAATTAAATAAATATGGCCCAAAATATGGATTCCACCTCTTCCAATATTAAAGAACCTATAAAGAGGCTTAGGCTTACAGCAGATGACGACTTAGCCCTTCTAAGAGAATTTGTTGCTTGTTGCCCTAAACCCACTGGCAGACGTTGAACAATAAAGCACTGGAAATAAGCACTTTAGCCCTTTAGTTTTAAAATACATAATACACAAAACAATTTCAAAGTTTTAAATTCAAAGTTAGGTTAAGTATAAATAGCGGACGCGAAGCGAACAGAATTCTTTCCGATCCGATAACTATAAATGAAGAGAGTTAATACCACCTCACGCAAAGGAAATAACATCTGGCCTTATTAACGTCCATGCACGCTATTCGGTTTAGCGATATCTCTCTATTACGCTGTTTATTGATATTTTACGCGAGTTTATTTTTGCGCACACAAAATGTGCGTAACACGTTTGCACATCGTCATAAAAAACAACTTTCGTACCACGAATTAGGGATAAGATTTTTATCTGTATACATATAGTATACCTAATCTGTGCTAATAGCAACCTTAAAAAAATTTAATGCTGTTAACCGGCCAAAGTGTTAAGTAAGTACTCATTGGTCCCTCATCAAATAATATGAAAAACAAGTTCCTATAAAGATGAGTGCGGAAATGCATAATTTTAATTAAAGTTACAGGATGTTAAAGTTTTAAAAAATAGGTCTTTTGTAATTATCTTAAATATCGAATTCAAGAGAGGAGATCGAATTCAACAAAATATCAAGATACAACTTTTTATCGGAATTAACGGCCAATTTACAAAATTTTGCTAACAAGAGAAGAAAGTCAGTTGGCTTGGAAATGACTATTTCTGATGACATTCTCTATATAATTTTACATAAATATAAAATGACAACGATCTTCATTACATAGTCATCGACGACGCCGTTTTATTTTCGATCATATTGTACTATAATTCAATATACTTTTAAAACTTGTCAAAATTAACACTAATTATATAGAGGTTAAGAAAGGATAATAGAACGTTTTGAGACACAAAAATCTCTTTCTAAAAAAATTTTTTTTATTCAATTTTTACTTGTCATTAATTTTCCTTACCGCACATACATGAACCAGCAACGCAGCATTTTTTTCTGTCTCTGTCACCTTACTATGATGTAAGTCAATTCTTTCTCTTTGTCTTAGTCTTATGGTGCGTTTAGACTTGAGCACGCACGAGCTGAGCGTGCGCGCACGGCATTCGTTCGCGCTCTCGGCTCCGTTCAAATTAAAAACTTATTTTTCGACGAATGAAATGAATGAAAATCCATTTGTGCGCGCACGGCAGAGTTGTGTTGGCGAAAATAATGGACGGCAAAGAAATAGTCGAGGCTGCAGTCATTGTTATGCACAGCTTAATTATTAACAAGGAGAAAAATCGAAAACATCGTCGCTGGTGGCAAACCCAAATTTTTAGAAATCGATATAATTTACTGCAACAACTTAGTGTCTGAGGAGGGCTATGATCAGTTCAAAATCTTTACAAGAATGACTAAACCCGACTTTGAATATTTACAAAATTTAATAACACCAAAAATTACGAACAAAAGATACAAATTTTAGAATAGCAATTTCATTAATATCGACATATTCAATATTAATTTTATTTACAAGATCTTGCCATACGTTTTTTTTTTGATTTTTTAATAATACAAAAACAAAAACACTCTATACTTAACATTAACTGTAAAATATAGTTAAAATTTTTGGAGGAAAAAACTGCTTGTCAAAAAAATATGTATAGTCTAAACGTCAAATTTAGTGATCACCACAGCCACTGTGAAATAAAGAGAAGACATGTAACGATCTATTTCAAAAATTAAATTGTTTGAATGTCATATAATATTGGCCGTAACTGTCGTGGAATTAAGCGATTATAAAGTTATCATAAATCATTTTTATCCAATAGAAACGTACTTTTTTATTTAACTAGTGAAAACGTTTTTTAGTTTGTTGCTTTTTGATTATACATGTTCCTATACCTAAAATAAATAATCTTTAAGTTATTTAAGATTTAGTTTTAAAGCTTATATTTTTCTTGATTCTAACCATTAGCTATAACTTTAAACGTCAAGCGATGGAAAACTATACCGGGTTCGTCTCAAAAGTGGCTCACCCCCTATAACTTTTTTATTTTTTCAGATAAAAAAACGAGATTTGGTATGTTAGTATATGATATAAATTAGGATTGATTGGTGTATTCAATTGTTTTTGGTCACTTCCTGTTTCACCGGAAATAACTACAACTTTTGATTTTTAAAAGGCACCCTCGGTATTTGTTTACTTTATTCGATAGAAAATGACATTCTGAATAGAATGACATATCATATGTCAAATAAAAAATTGTATTTTAAAATTCAATCTAGAGTACCATGGCTATGTTAAAAACACTAATTCTTCATCAAGGAGCCTTGGAAAAATAGATTTGATCGTCTAATTTTTTTAGTGTCTTGTCCTGGCCAGTTTAGAAAATACTCAAATCGTATTTTTAATCATATCTCAATTTTTTCACATGGAACGAGGGTGGCTCATTAGCATATTTGGAAAAAGCATTTTTTTACGAATAATTTGATACCACACACTTGATATTTCGAGTCAAATTTTCGTTACGAACCGCAAGTTATAATTTCAAATAAACCATATGCGAAAATGTCAAAAGTTGACATATTATATGTAATTTTATTCAGAGTGACATTTTCTATCGAATAAAGTAAAAAAATGCCGGGGGTGTCATTTAAAAATCAAAAGTTGTAGTCATTTCCGGTGTTTTCAACCGGAAGTGACTGAAAACAATTATTGAATACGTCAATCAATCCTAATTTATGTCATAGACTAACATACTAAATCTCGTTTTTTACCTAAAATCTTATAGGGGTGAGCCACATTTGAGACTCACCCGGTATATCCAACCATTTCATTTTGTAACACTTTGTTAAAAAATAAGCATATGATCGATCGTCATTTCCAAGACAACTTTGGGCCGTTTTTTTTCCGTCTCATATAGTGTATTATTAATAATATCAACTATTAGATATAAATATATGGTGCCCGGTGGCGTAGAGGTACAGGATCTTGTCTACCAATTTGAAGGTAGTGGGTTCGAATCCCACACCCGGCATTTCATCAGCCGACTATTTTTATTAAAATAAAAATAGTTTGGGTACCTACGTCGACTCAGCCTTAAATGAGTAGTACTTGGGATTTTCACAATCTTGATGTAATAATAGGCGGTTGAAGCGTAGTGGTAGCCACATTACCTTCCTTGTATACCGAACGGCTCTAGTATGGTAAGCTGTACCTTGCTACTCCCAAGGCGTTAGACGCTATACACGGGAGCTATTATTATTATTATTATTATTATTAGATATAAATAAAGAGCGGAAGTACGAGATATATTTTTATATATACACTTTATAAAGTTTTAGGGCAGCAGTATTTATAATATACGAAATTCTAATAATTAATTTTTTGACAAATGAAAATAAATTGTCTGATTGTTTGGCACTTAATGTCAAACTATATCTTAAATAACTTACAAACGATTTATTTTAGGTATAGGATGCGTAATAAAAAGAAACGAATTGAAAAACCTTGTTACCAGTGAAATAAAAAAGTAGGTTTCTATTTAAAAAAAAATTATTTAGGATATTATCTGACATTAGAACAATTTAATTTTTGCAGTAGATAGCCACATGTCTTCTCTTTATGTTACAGGGGCTGTAGTAACAGTAGTAATCACTAAATTTGTGGTTTAAGCTATACACATTTTTTTGACAGGCAGCTTTTTTCGTTCAAAAATTTAAAATATTTTTTTGTATGAGTGTACGGCAAGTTATGAAAAATGATAAAATTTTACGGAGAATTTAAGTATGCAATTAAAAATAAAATATTTTAAATGAATACCCATTTAAACTAAGAAAGTTGCTGTCAACTTTCGGTAGTTCCGAAGATGCCATCATATTGAAATGATTTTTAATCGATAGATCTCGTTGTAAAACAACGATGTGCAAAAAATATCCGATCTAGATGTTGTAGTTCTCTAGAAACTCATAATGCACGCACAGCCTGGGACACCCTTTATATGCACGCTTCGAACATTGAAAATTCGACGCTGATGGGGTTGAAGACATTCGAATATAAGTAAAACATAAATAAATTACATAAGAATTGATTTTATAAATTCTTACTTCAAATTTAAATTCTCTGAATCTTTTTTGAATTAAATTCTCTGAAAATTTTTGTTCTGCTAAAAAGACAAAATGTTAACAATATTGTAGATTTTACAAATGGCCACAGCTCCAGACACTCACCGTTTGAAACTATTGCGTGAAGTAGCTGGTACTAGAGTTTATGATGAACGTAAGGCAGAATCTGTGACTATTTTGAAAGAGACAGAGGGCAAAATTGAAAAAATTCATGAATTTTTAACTACAATTGAAGAGAGATTATCAACATTGGAAGAGGAAAAAGAAGAATTAAGGCAATACCAGCATTATGATAAAATCAGAAGGGCGTTGGAATATATTATTCATGAGGTGGAATTGAATGAAAACAAAAAGAAATTATCAGAGGTATTATTATTAAAAAACTGATTACTTTAAATAATCATATAATTGATCTTAAGGCGCATTCTCACGACTGGTGACATTCTCACAACATCGGCAAGTGAGGCGCTCACACGACGCGACGCGCGACGTGTCCATTTCAACAAGTACGCCAGCACAAACGTTTAAATCCTTGGCCAGTAAACACTATAGTCGCATCGATAGATACCGGTCGTCCCGAAATTATCGTTGCTAGTGATTCTTTTTTTTTCTTTTTAAGTTCTTTTACTGTACCCTGCAATACTATTTATATGTTCTTTATGTTTGGCCATCCATATGAAGGCCTCATTTTCGTATAAATCCATAAATTCCAAAACAATATCATTTGAAGACTACACGGGAAAAAACAGTTTTGTCCATTTTAATTGGAGCCGAGAAAAATGCAATTTAGTGTTTTTAAAGAAATATGTTATTTTCTGTTGAATAATTAGAAAAATATATATTACTACCAATTCTGAATTATTAATATTGTGAATTATCGCCATATTCTACCTTATAGGTACCGAAATAAAAATGTCAAAATGCAAAACAAAACAGGGATGTCCAATTAAAGGTTGTATAAAACCTAAATCTGAACTATTATTTTTTTGTTGTAGGAAGAAAATTAATATTTAAGTCGCTTTTTATTACAATACATAAATTTATAACATATAATACTAATTGCAAGATGCATGCTTGTCGACCATGCGTAGGGACACTTCTAATTTTTGCCATTTATGCGTGGACTACTCTGGTTTTTTCCTTGTACGGCAAAATAACCAAGTTGTAATATCTCTGGGACTAAGCGTATTATTGCTTTATTTTTTCTCGAATGACGCTAACATTTCCTATAAAGTTGTATCGCTATCTTAATTTCTATGAAAATGTGACATATCTGGGTTTTTTTCGTGTAGTCTTCATTTGTCCACTCTATTTATTGCTGTGAGAACAATTTAGGTATGTCGCCAATATTGAAGTTATAATGTAAATTTGATATTATATAATCTATTATTGTTTTAACGTTTTAAATTATCCGCAATTAAATCGAAAAACACTATACGATCCGGAAATAAACGGGACATACTCTATAACAGTACAATTATTTGCGCAGTTGTTTTTTTGCGCCTCGGCCAGTATAGACAAGGCTGGCCAAGTACACTTGGCAAGTGTACGAATAATTATTGTGATCCTTTGACTCGGCCTATATTTACTGACAGAGAGTGGGGACGCGACGAGTGACCAAGGAACCGTTCTCACGACATGGCAAGTATATTCCAATAACAAATGTTTGTCAAGTACACCAGTCGTGAGAATGCGCCATTATAACGTATTTTAAATAACCATTTAACTGATATTTTATTATAGTTAGAAAAACAGCGAGATGAGTCAGGTTCCGAGCAAAAAATTTTAGCTCAGGAGCTGAAAAAAGCTCAAGATAATATTAAAGTTTTGGCCAAAAAGAGCAAGGATTTGAATAAGGAGCTTATTTCAATTAAAGATGAAAAGAAAATTTTAAACAGTGATCACCAACATTTAATCACAGAAAGGGCAAAACTAGAATTAACAATTAAAGACTTATCAGATGATGTGCAAGGTAAAAATTTCTACTGTACCGGGTGCGTCTCAAAAGTAGTTCACCCCTATAAATAACATAAAAAAAATCGAGATTTGGTACATCAGTATATGACATAAATTAGGATTGATTGACGTATTCAATTTTTTTGGTCAATTTCTGTTTCACCGGAATTATCTACAACTTTCGATTTTTAAATGAAAACCTCGGTATTTCTTTACTTTATTCTATAGAAAATGACACTCTAAAAAGAATGACATATCATATGTCAACTTTCGACATTTTCGCATATTATGGTTTATTTGAAATTGTAGCATGCAGTTCATAACGACAATTTGACTCGAAATACCAAGTGTGTGATACCAAATTATTCGTAAAAAATGCTTTTTCCAAATTTGATAATGAGCCATCCTTGTTCTATTTGAACGAAAATTGAGATATGATAAAAAATACGATTTGGGCATCTTTTAACCGTCCAAGAGAAGACGCGAAAAACATTAAACGATCAAATCTATTTTACCAAGTCTCCTTGATTAAAAATTAGTGTTTTTAACACAGCCATGGTACTCTAGATTGAAATTGAAAATACAATTTTTTTAAGCGGAAATGTCAAAAGTTGACATATAATACGATTGTCATTCTATTCAGAGTGTTATTTTCTATTGAATAAAGTAAAAATATACCAAGGGTGCTATTTAAAAATCAAAAGTTGTAGTCATTTCTGGTGAAACAGGAAGTGACCAAAAACAATTGAATACGTCAATCAATCCTAATTTATGTCATATACTGACATACCAAATCTCATTTTTTTATCTGAAAAAAGTTATCAGGATGAGCTACTTTTGAGACACACTCGGTGTACTGAGAATATGTTACTTGAATTTTGACATTTCGTAGGAGATAACAAATCAAAAGAGCGAGCCGAAAATGAGTTAGCTCGTTTAACACAAACCATCAAAGAAAAAGAAACAGAATTAGAAAAAATTAAACCTTTATATGAAGAAAAGAAAGCAAGAGAAGAAGAGTGTACAAGAGAACTTGCATTGAAGGAACAAAAAAGGAAAGAACTGTATGCAAAGCAAGGTAGGGGAAGTCAGTTTGCATCTAAGGAAGACCGCGATAGGTAATTTAATTAAACACTGTTTCTATTTTTTACTATTGAGATTTTTTAGGTGGATCCAAAATGAACTAAAATCACTGAGTAAACAATTAAAGGATAAAAGGGACCACAGAGATAAATTAGAAGCCGATCTTAAAAGGGATGCCCAAAAGACCATTGATTTACAAAAGAAAATTGAAGAACAATCTCAAGAATTGGAAAGACAGAAAAATTATATTGATGAATATAATAAGCAGTGTTATGAACTAAAGAAAAACAAGGATCAATTTCAGACAACCAGAAAGTAAGTTCCTATAAACAAACATGATGAAGTACAGTAGACTCTCGATTATCTGAGCTAACGTGGGCAGTACCGTAGCTCGGATAATTGGCGGCTCGGATAATCCGGATTTTGCATATCTAATATATCAATATTAGAATACAAATAATACATATCAATACTTAAGTTAACATATTTTATTAATAATTTTACAAACAAACATACAAACACTTAGGTCTGCAGAAAGAAATATAATAATTCTCTTAGAAGGGCTAAGTCATCATCTGCTGTCAAAAACTTTTTTTTTTCCTTTTAAGCTTTCTTATTCGACTAAAGGCAACATAATTGGCATGCGCAGCGGCAAATCAAATGCGCCCAAACACGGTAGGTTTATCTTGTTTTAGTTTAGAAGTTCCTATGGTCATTATTAGTTATTCCACTCGCTTGTTGGTAGCTTCAAAATCGCGTTTTTGAAGGTGCTGAGTGCATCTTCAGGGCAGTGGAACATTTGACCACGCAGTTCATTCTTAATTTTTAGAAAAGTAAAAAGTCGTTAGGACATAGGTTGGGACTATAATATGGAGGATGGTTCAACGATTTGATATTTTCTTGTTTTAAAAGTTAATTGTTTTTCGAGCTACGTGGGAATATACATTGCCTTGGTGGAGGATCATTCGCCGTTGAATGTCGGATTTTCGAACCAAGAAGTTTATATCAAATAAGGCGGTTGAGGTCTTCTAGAATATGTAGAAGTGTGCTTTAATGCTTCTAAATTTAATTCTCAATTTAACATACTCAATATATATTATTACTTAGCAATAGTTAGTGAATATAATTTAATTAACAGGGAATTGTGGCGTAAAGAAAATAACGTTCAAGCAAATTTGACATCGCTTAAAGAAGAATTGGCTAAAGCTGATCAGCAATTGAGATCAATGGTTGGTAAGCCAATATTGAATGGTCGAGACAGTGTTCGTAAAGTATTAGATACGTTCATAGGTATAATTATTTTTATTTGACATTTGTGAAGGGTAAGGGAAAAAACCGACGATGTCCATTTTATAGGAATTTTTAAGTAATCAACTTAATCTGTTTGAGAATCCCAAATCTTAAACACATGCTAAATTGTAAAGGATATCCAAATAATAATGCATACAGTCATATTTTTTGTATCTTTAACATGGTATTTGACAACATTAAATCAGTTTTCTCTGTGCAAGTCAGTTTTGTGACATCGTCAGTTTTTCCTCTTAACCTTCGTTTATTCTTTTTCACTTAAAATAAATATTCTAGCTCGCGGAGGACGAGAAGCCGATATAGCTAAATGTTATTATGGTCCTGTAATTGAGAATTTTGAATGTGAAAAAAGTATTTACATAGCAGTAGAAGTAACAGCCGGTAACAGATTATTTCATCACGTTATTGATAATGATAAAGTAGGAACAATGATTCTTAAAGAAATGAATAGGCAGACTTTGCCAGGAGAAGTTACTTTTATGCCATTGAACAGATTAAATGTAAGAGAAATGGACTACCCAAATGACGCGGTAAGTTATTTATCCCTTTATAGGAAGGTAAATCTTCAAAATAAAAAGTTATTTTGCAATTTTGCAGTTATTTTGAAATTTGTAATCACCACTGAGTTGAATTCAAACGGAAACCAGATTGTCAGTGGCTTATTACTAGTAAAATAAATTTGCCTAACCGACAATAACGATAGTAATTGTTAATAAACTTCAAATTAACAATTACTAATTTTTTAGACAGTTGATGACACTACATGTAGTCAAACTTCAAGACTTCACATAGTGTCATTTGAACAGAATGTCACTGGTTTATAATAGGCGTATCTGCTAAAAACTAAACTGTTCTTGAAGAGCTGTTTTTAAACATTTTAAATAGTCTTTTCTTTTTTTTCTGATGTCGGGAGGAAGACATACCTCCTAAAACCTTAAACATTTTTAGTCAGTTAAGAAAATTTGTTTGACCAGTAAAAAACTACTGAAAAGCTGGTGTCCGTTTGGATTCAATGTGGTGGTGTTTAAAGAAAAAAATAATTAGTATTTATTTTATAGTCGAAATCTTCCCTGAGTCGTAAAATAACAGTATATTTTTGTTTTATTATTTTGCCAATTTTTGCCTACTTTGTTAAAATTTGTACTGCACGCCACTGGTCCCGTTATATATTCAATCATAAAATAATTAACTAGAAAGAAGTGTCAACTCCAAACCAAACCAATTGACAGGTTGACATGATGGCTTCATTTTTATTTCCGTTTCCGGTTATTCAATGGCGGGCCCTCTTTCAGTTTAAATGTATTTTGTACTCTTTCTTATCATAAATAAAACAAAACAAAATTTTATTCAAACATATTTATTTGAAATATGAGACAACGGGACTAAATAAATATAAAAAATAAAGAATTGAATTATTTCTACAGCAATTACTTAATTATATGCAATTTTAACGTAAATTAGTAAGGTATAAGCATGACTTACAGTAATTTGTAAATAAATACGCGTATTCACAGCCATCAAGGATAGAAAACGGGGGCAGACATGAAAACGGGAGCCTTATACAAAAATCTGAAAACAGAAAAACAAATTTTTATACTAAAATTAACAATGTAAAAATATCAAGGTATAAAATATAAATATACTGTTTTTAAAAAAGCGTCCATTATTCCCAAAGAGACCTGGTTTGTAAATCAAAAGAAGCAAAAGAGACTTTTAGTCGGATAACAATCAGATTGTATCAGTCAGATTTACTGCGTTATTGACAATAAATCGCACATACTGGAGATAACTAATGTTGGCTATAGTTAAAATGATCTTACCTTGCTGTAAATTGTTTCCATTTTCAAAAAAAAATCGCCGATCATAAACATAACAAAATTTTCTTGCATCTAAAAAATACAGAAATAGTGTTTATTTACTACCTATTTTTAATATACATGGGACATACCTAGTACTGCAGAAACGTCTTTTTCTCCAGGATTGTTCATGTAATAATGTATTTTATATGCTTTACTACCTTTATATTTATAAATTTCTGCCGAAATATCAAATTGAATTTACAAAACAAAACTAACCGGAGAGAATTAAAATGGCGTTGAAATTTGTTCTAGAACAAATCTGAAGTTGTCTCTGAAATCTGTCAATTTTAAACTGTGAAGTTAGACAATAGTTAGACAGAAACATTGCTGTCCTTGTCTAGGCGGCCATACTTGTCGTCAGGAGATGACAGGATTGACACTAATGACTGTTTCAAATTTTCCTATTTCACTGTCACCCCCCTGTATTCAATACTTGGGTAACGTAGGTTGGCAACATTGCAAAGCTTCTATAAGCGTCAAAATATGTTATAGGATAATGAATCTGCAGCTTTAAAATCTTTCAGTTAAAACATCAAAATCATCAGTCAAAATAATTGCAATTCTTTAAGAAACATCCTGTATACAATAGTTTTATATAATATATTATGTTTACCTTCTCCATTCTAAATATAAATGCTTATTTCTAGTTTATGATTTTGTAATATTTTTTTTTTCAAATGTCACAAAAGTATTAATTTTTGCGACGTGATTGACAATATAAAAAAGTAATTTTAACGCCGAGGCATAAAAGTAAAGCACTTTTACGCCTAAACACAAAAGTAAGAAAAATATATTAGGTATTAAACTGACATAAAGTAAAGTTTGTGTAAAATTTTCTCTTTCTTATTATTTCCTATATTCTATAGAATGAACAAGTTAATGTTTTAGGATGCCATTGCAATGGTTTCTAAGTTAGACTATGACCGAAAATATGACAAAGCAATGAGATACTTGTTTGGAAAAACTTTAATTTGTCGACACTTGGACGCCGCTACGAAATTAGCTAGAAGTACTGGTTTGGACTGTGTTACATTAGACGGTAAATATATCAAATATACGCTAGTAGAACTTTAAAATATACGCCTTTTATTAACTTTAGGTGATCAAGTTTCCTCTAAAGGATCTTTGACCGGAGGATACTTTAATACATCTAGGTCACGTCTAGAAATGCAAAAGAACAGAACGGAAACTATTTCTCAAATTCAACAGTGTGAACAAGAATTAAAAAATTTGAAAAGTGAATTGACAAAGACAGAAGCTTCAATTAATACAATCGTATCCGACATGCAAAAAATTGAGACTAAGAATAGTAAAGCTAAGGGTATATATGACAAAGTTAAAGGTAAGCTATATAACAAAATTATCTATAGTCTGTCCAACTAGGGGATACAGCCAAACATACTGACAGTTGTTTTTGTCACATAATTTGTATTTTCTGTCATTTTTTAGATATCTGCTGAAATATTCCCTAACTCGTTGGGCAGTCTATAATATTAAATACACCATATGACCTTAGTAACAGAAAAAATCATTTTGACATTTATCATACTATCATAGGCAACCGAGAGTCTTGGGTCGGTACTTACATTTACGTATAAATAAAATATACTCCAGATATTCATTTAATTGCGCATGCCTCACCTAAAGAAATTTACATTAAATTAATTACATTGGTTGGTGTTTTTAAAGGGAAGGGGTATTTAAGCGATATATATATATATATATATATATATATATATATATATATATATATATATATATATATATATATATATATATATATATATATATATATATATATATATATATATATATATATATATATATATAATATATATATATATATATATATATATATATATATATATATATATATATATATATATATATATATATATATATATATATATATATATATATATATATATATATATATATATATATATAATATATAATATATATATATATATATATATATATATATATATATATATATATATATATATATATATATATATATATATATATATGTATATATATATATATATATATATAATAATATATATAATAATATATATATATATATATATATATATATAGTGAGCTGTATATATATATATATATATATATATATATATATATAATAGCAGAGTGTATAATAACTAATATAATAATAATAATATAATATGTATGTATGTAATAATATGTATATATATATGTAATAATATGTGCTATTAATAATGGTTGTTGCCAGCAATAATAATATATATGCTATAATATATATATAATAATAATATATATATATATATACATATAGCCTAACTTACCCAAAAGTCAACCTTACTTTCACGTGGTACACCCTGTTTACACAAACGAGGCTCGTATAGGCCGTATAACCTTATACAACCCCCAGACCTGTCATCTTTCTGGGGAAGAGGAGAAGTAGACTACTTCTACTCGGCTGAGAACGTAGCACAGGGGAACTATTGTCTCAGTCCTCACTGTGCCATAGCCATCCCTTGCTACAGTTGCAGCCAAACTGTGCAGCAGCGTAACCGTCACAGTTGAACCCTTTTACGCATCTAACACTCATCAAAGATGGAACATTCGAGTGGGACAAAATCATCGTCCGGAGGGGGTGCCTACTCGAGCGTATCATCGGAGAACTAAGCAGCGTCAGTGTTTTACGTTTGCAGCGTGGAACGTTCGTACTCCTGGACAGGAAAAAAAAAGGGAAGTGGTTGACTGACATTTCACCTAACCTTCAATTTTATTTATTTTATTTAATATTTATAACACATTATCATGGAGTTGGAAACATATCAAAAAAATAGTTAGAAACAATAAACTAAACAAAATCACTTTTTACACGCACAAATAAAAAGTAATCTAAACAGAACCAAAACAACAATCAATCGGAGTTTGGCGCAATCGCAGTTCTATCGATATCCGAGTGAAATAGACTTATGCAGCATTAATATGGAGCTGAGTTATGTTGTCGTTTTCTTTGTCCTAACCTAACGGAAACACGGGGTTAAATAGGGAACACTGAGTATATTTTATTTATACGTATATGGGTATTTACATGCCTAGGAGTGAATCGCTATGAGGATCTTGTAAGTTGGAGAGAGAAAAATGCGAAGTGTTTATTACATAACCACTTAATCCGGCGGTTTATTTCATGCGCTTGGGAAAATACTTGCTTTTCTCTCTTTGTTTACTACATTTTATTGTACTGAACACATTGACTGTAGTACTTTTCGTACACACTCAAATCGGCACCAGAACTGGACGTTGCATAACCGTGTGTGTGATAATGATTTGTTTTTGTTATTGGGTTATGCTGAAGAAATTCCACATAAACTTTTTTCAATAATTCAATAAAATAAATTTCCATTTGTTACATCTTGCATTGCACACATTTGATGATTTTTTTAATAATATTTTTTTTTTACCAGGCGAATTGAGACTTATGAAAGAAGAACTTTCAAATATAGAAAAGTTCAGAGGTCCGAAAGAACGTTCCTTGGCTCAGTGCAAATCTAATTTGGAAGCTATGCAAGCAACCAGAGAAGGATTGGAATCTGAATTACACCAAGAACTACTTTCATCCTTATCAGTTGCTGATCAGCAACAGGTTGATTCATTAAATGATGATATACAGAGACTGCAACGGGAAAATAAAGAGGCTTTCAGTACCAGGATGAAATTAGAAGCAGAAAAGAACAAACTGGAGAATTTGTTAACAAATAATTTAATTCGTAGGAGAGATGAACTTTTACATGCTCTTCAGGTATTTTTATTAGTAGATAGTGTTGATATAAACACACTTTTTTAACTTTTTTGTTATTGTTTCTTAGGAAATATCGTTGGAAGACCGTAAACGACAATTAACAAATTGTAAATCAGAATTTGAGGAAATTGATAAAAAAATCGATAAAGTTAATAAAGAATTGAGTTCCATAGAAACCAAAATTAAGGATATGACTAAAAAGGTAAGTTCTTTTCTTCATTATAGGCATACTGACAACTGTACACAGTGTTCCATTTTCGTCGTCATTATCAAATATCTCCGTTGTTGAAGATAAAACCTATACTAGTAAAAACATTACTAAAAAACTGTAAATACAAAAATACTGGGCTAATGCCTAAAATATTGTGTAAGTGTTGTGTATACTAGGGTTGGTCAAAAAAGTCGACTATTTTTTTTTCACTTTATACTCTGAAAAAAAGGTTGGTAGATACCTCAAAAAATTTTCTTCGTATGAGCTCTTAATTTTAATAGGAAGGTCCTCTGTCTTTCAGTTTTCGATGTTTTCCTTATTATTAGAAAGAAAAATTCATATCTCGGTATCTACTATCTGGAAAAAAATATCTCGTCTCATATATTTGTGGGAACTTGAATTCTTCACAAAAAAAGGTCCCTTACAATTTTTTTTTAAACCTCATCGTTCGAAAGTTATTAAAGGTTGAAATTTGATTATTTTAATGTAGATTTCTTTTTTCTTATGAATTTTAGAACTCGTTAACAAAAAATATTATGATAGGCGCAACTCATGGTTTGGTAGGCAATTCACTGCTCTACAAAACTGGTTTCTTATGGTACGTATACATAGGTGCGCTGCGCGCCGAGCTTTGGCCGCGCGTTACTTTTATTGTTTTAACGAACATCCCGCTATCCATAGAAATCCCGCGAACATGTGTTTAGTCGTTAATCATACGATAGAGACCGTCTGAGAACTAAGCAATTTTAGTGAAGAGTAGTGCGGCTCTTTGATCACCAAATTAACATACAATATTCAAAGAAAACATAGAGACAATTTTTTCAAATAAAACACACAAAGTAGCCGATAAATGCGGGCGGCATGCGCGCGCTGTTTTCGACGGCCGTCCCAATTGAACAACGAACATAGAAAGCGGAGTGTCGAAAAACCGACAGAAGATGATTCGCTTGAAAACACGTACAAATACAGGCGAATTGGTGAGCGCGCGCCGCGCGTTTGCGGCGCAGAGCGGCGATGTATACGTACCATTATTAGACGATTAAATTAACCGTTGAAAAGATTTTTTAACAGTTTTTGATTCGAAGGGAGTTTCGGGAAAATTTGTACAAATTTGAGTTTCTATGAACAAAGAAATGTTTTAAACTTTTTTTTATTTTTTTTAGTCCGAAGCATGTTTGGGTACATTGAAACAAAAAATGCTTGCGTTTTTTCTAACTTAGAGTCAATGGGTCTTATGAATAAAAGTTAAGCAAATGCTTTCACTTAAATTTCTTGAAATAGACTTATACAATTTGTAAACAACCAACAAAGATAGTTCTATAGAAAAAGCAATTGCTTCTCTTTATTCATCAGGCCCATTGATTCATTAAACTTCGAGTAAATAACGTTTTTGTCACAAATTTAATATAAAAAGTATTGATCTAGAACAGGGTTTCTTAAACTTTTTGCAGTCACGGACCACTTTCGCAATTTGTACAATTCCACGGACCCCTATCAGAAATAATAGAAGAAAATTTAAAAAAGCCTTATTTACATAAAAAGAAAAGGTTTATTAGTAGATTTATTACACGCACACTAGTAAATTAGTGAGAAGGATGCTGCTGTTTAGCCTCAATGAGAACGTTAAATTGTGGTGTTATCTTCGACAAGGCAAGGCGCATATCATCTGCGACGTTCAATCGGTTGCGACTTTTTGTTTTTATTGATATCAGAAAGAACCGAGAACCCTACCTCGGGAGGCAAATGTACGTAGTAGCAAATGGTATCAGAACGGACATAGCTCGGTTGAAGTAGAGCTTCAAGCGAGGAGAGGGTAAGCTTGACTTAAAGAACACCAAAACTCGCTAAGATCTTTTGCATGGAATTCAGCTTTCAAAACTTCTTTTGATCTCATGTCAATTAAGTCATCTTTAATATATATTATTTTATTATATTATATATAGATATTATCCTTGTCGATTATAAATGGACCCCGCACCCACGTTTCATTTTGAAACGATTCCAAGTTAAAGTAGCCTTCAAAAGAAGTTTGCAATGTATCCGAATGCTTAGACACCTCTTTCTGTAGCATTTTTGATATCGTGTTGCCGTCACATTGTGCTATTAACTCTTCAAACATCGGAAAATTTGTAAAGTTACCAGATTTCACCCTCCTTTTCCAAAGTGGCATCCACGATGGTTACCGCAGAGCTCTGAAGAGACAAGCTAATTTCATTCAATTGAGTAAATATATCTGCCAAATACGCCAAATATCTGCGCAAATCTTCACTCTCAAGATATTCAGACAGTGAATTTCCTTTATCTTTTAGAAAAATGAACACTTCTGTCCTCAACTCAAACAATCGCTTTAAGACCTGTCCCCTTGACATCCAACGAACTTCTGTGTATTAAAGGAGTACTTCATGTTCTGACCTTGTCCTGACCCCATTTCTTGACAAAGTCTTTTAAACAGGCGGTGCCGCGGTGGTTTAAGGCTCTTGCTCTGATGAAGTTAATTATTTTGACACATATAGACATAACTTCCTTCAGAAATGTAGGTAAAGTCCGCGAAGCCAAGGCATGTCGATGTAAGACACAATGAGTTATTGTGACATGAGGGATCTCTTTCTTGACCAAAGCCGCGAAACCAGACGTATTACCAAGCACTGCGGGAGCTCCATCGGTGCAGATACTACCAAGTTTAGTCTTCCAGTCTATATTTTGTTTGTTGAAAATCCTTTTTGTCGTTTCAAAAACATCTGAAGCCTTTGTAAAAAAAGTGAATTACAAAAAAGTGAAATCCAAAAGTGAATTACAAAAAAGAAAATCTTCTTTAATACTACGTGTGTCTTGTTGTACGTAACGGACAAATAGCAAGAGTTAGCTACATTGTGACACATCTGTGCTTTCATCTAATTGAATGCTGAATGGAAACGGTGAATCAATCAATTCTTCAACAACTTGTAAAACATTTGACGACATTTCAACAATTCTAGAATTAATAACATCGTTTGATAAGGGAACAGGTTCAACTTTGTTTTTTTGATTCTTACGCGCATCGCGTAGTGCTAAGTGATCAAAAAAAAATAAAAAAATACCTACTGAAAATAAAAAAATACCTACTGAATTCGCCGCCCTACACTATTTCTTTTCTAAATAAATATGTTTACAGTTAACTGACGTAATGCGAACCGCGGGGGGGACCCCTGATACACATTCTATGGACCCCTAAGACCCCACTTTAAGAAACCCTGATCTAGAAGAAGAAAAAAAATTTCAATTTTTATCAAAAAGTTTTTTTTTTATTTAATATCAATTGAGATATAATTTTTAACATTTTTAATATAATCGTACATTTCTACTGCAAAAAATTGTCTTTATTGCAGTTCGGAATATCTTTTAAACGGTTAATTTAATTGACTAATAATAAGAAATCATTTTTGTAGAGCAGTGAATTTCTTTCAAAACCGTGAGTTTTTGAACGCGTTTGGATACGCGCATCATAATGATTTTTTTTGTTAACGAGTTATAAAATTCATAAGAAATTAGAAAACTGATTTAAAATAATCAAATTTCAACCTTTAATAACTTTCGCATGGTGAGGTTTACAATATAATAATAAATTTCCTACAAATATATGAGACGAGCTATTTTTTCCAGATAGTAGATACCAGAGCTGCTACAAGACAATTTTAAAAGGTCTTAAGTCTAAAGTCATTTCTAAAATCAAAATGATTTAAGTCTTAAGTCAATTTCAATATAAAGTCCAAATGACTTAAGTTTTAAGTCTTTGACTTAAGTTATTTTCTTTCATGTCAAGTCATTTTTGTAAAGACTTAAATCAATATAACGTTATTTAAGTCTTTTTTTGACTTAAGTTTTTTTTACTTAGGTCTTTTTTTTACTTAAATTATGATAATCTGCAAATTAAATCAGTAAAATGACTTAAATCAATATAATTTCCCTCAAGTCAAGACAACCAGAATTTTTAAATGTTAATATTAACTTTCTATTGCCTAATCTTTTTATTCAAAGGTATTACCCATTACCGATTTTTTTATTATCTACCGGGTGCGTCTCAAAAGCGGCTCAACCCTACAACTTTTTTATTATTTTATTTAAAAAAACGAGATTTGGTATGTTAGTATATGACATAAATCAGGATTGATTGGCGTATTCAATTGTTTTCGGTCACTTCCGGTTTCACCGGAAATGACTACAACTTTTGATTTTTAAATGGCACCCCAGGTATTTTTTTACTTTATTCTATAAAGAATGTCACTCCGAATAGAATGACATATCATATGTAAACTTTTGGCATTTTCGCATATGGTTTATTTGAAATTATAACTTGCGGTTCATAACGAAAATTTGACTTGAAATACCAAGTGTGTGGTATCAAATTATTTGTAAAAAAATGCTTTTTCCAAATATGCTAATGAGCCACCCTCGGTCCATTTGAAAAAATTGAGATATGATTAAAAATACGATTTGAGCATTTTCTAACTGACATGGCCAGGACAAGACACTAAAACATTATCAAATCTATTTTTCCAGGGCTCCTTGATGAAGAATGTTTTTAACATAGCCATGGCACTCTAGATTGAATTTTAAAATACAATTTTTTCTTAAGCGAGAATGTCAAAAGTTATTCAGAATGTCATTTTCTATCGAATAAAGTAAAAAAATACCGAAGGTGCCATTTAAAAATCAAAAGTTCTAGCCATTTCCGGTGAAACAGGAAGTGACCAAAAATAATTGAATACGTCAATCAATCCTAATTTATGTCATGTACTAACGTACCAAATCTCGTTTATTTATCTGAAAAAATAAAAAAGTTATAGGGGATGAGCCACTTTTGATACGCACCCGGTATATTAATTTATGGTAGATACAGATTAGGATAAAATATTAGATAAACAACTATAATAAACAATAAAAAAATAAACGCATCAAGGACATAAAAACATCAACAACTTAAATAAAAATAAATTTCGTGGTTCTTTGTACAGGTTGTCCCATTTTTGTGTTTTTTACAATGTTTCTCGTTTATGAGCAGCGGTACAAAGATACGGTTTTCCCAGTTGCTACTTTTTTATGAAACTAAAGATATTTGATAAAAAACATATTTGATGCAGCTGTTAAAATTTTATGGTAAAAACATATTAAAAAAAGACTTAAATCTTTTCTAAAAAGACTTAAATCTTTTCTAAAAAGACTTAAATCTTTTCTAAAAAGACTTAAATCTTATGTAAAATGACTTAAGTCATTAAAAAAAGATTTAAATATGTTTTAATGACTTAAATCTTTTCTAAAAAGACTTAAATCTTTTAAAAGACTTAAATCTTTTTTTAATGACTTAAATCTTTTTCTATTTTGGAATAAAGACTTAAATCACAAGTCATTTTGAAAATGACTTAAATTTTAAGTCTCAAGTCGGCTCTCGAAATATGACTTAAAATCAAATGATTTAAGTCATTAAAATGATTTAAGTCAAAAAAAGACTTAAGTTTTCTGTGAGCCTGCAGCTCTGGTAGATACCGAGATATGATTTTTTCTTTCTAATAATAAGGAAAAATCGAAAACTGAAAGGCGGAGGACCTTCCTATTAAAATTAAGAGCTCATACATGGAGAGAATTTTTTGAGATGTCTACTAACCTTTTTTTCAAAGTATAAAACGAAAAAAAAATGGTCGATTTTTTTCACCCACCCTAGTGTATAGGGTAATAATAGGAGAGTAAAGCAAGTTTTTTTTTAATGTGCCAGAAAATATACAGGCTGTCTCATTTAAACAAAGCACAACTTATTATGAGTAATATTTAACAATCTGTTGGTAGCTATTCAGTATGTCAAAGGATAACCGAGATGGAGGATCCCATAAAAAAAATATTTTCAATTTCTCCCTGTATTTTATAAATGAAGCAGAGTATGATATTTATGATTACGGGATTAGTTTTACGAAAAAGTTTGCGAAAATAATCATTCTTTATCTTCAATAATAACGGACAAATCCGACAAAGACAGCGAATAAAATAATTTTTACGCTTCTGTATACCATGTATATTTTAATAAAATAATTTTTAAAAAATAGTTGAAACGTGAACAAACTGAATTTGAAAGTTGGAAAGCTAAAGAAAAAGAGGCTCAAGACAAAATAGATGAGGACGCAAAACATTTAGAAAAGTTTGCATCTAAGCAAAACTTGCTAGAGACAAAAATTCAAGAAAGTGTGGAGAAGATCAATCAACTAGGCGCATTACCTGCACAGGATCTTTATGGCCAATATGTTAAAATGTCTTCTAGAGCAGTAAGCTACTATATTTCATAATCTAAATGCAATTTGTCTAAATCAATTTCTTTTGCACAGTTATTCAAAGAATTGGAAAAAACTAACAATCAATTGAAGAAGTTCAGCCACGTCAATAAGAAAGCTTTGGATCAATTTATGAGTTTTTCAGATCAAAAGGAAAAACTTCAGAAAAGAATGGAGGAACTAGAGAGGGGGTAAGTGTTTTTTTCAATATTAAACTTGTGTTGCTGCTCTTTGCTGTTATCTAGGGCGGATAAGTAAAAATTTGTTCAAAAATATTCTATTGACTAAATGTACGTTGCTCTAACCACGTTTTAACGACCCTTTAGTGATATACCGTGCTGGAATCTGTTTCTTTTGGGTCGGTAGTTACATGTGCGGAAGTAAATCGCATAGGGATCTTATTAAGTCAGAGTGAGAGAAATGCGACGGTGTGATGTTGCGGCGTTGCCGATACGCCTTTCCCTATCAAGTAAAGTAAAGTCACGATGGCAAACCGCTTATTTAAAAAAAAATAAGTTAAATGATAACTAGATAAAATCATTAGATATGTTTCTGAGCATCTGAAATGGAATTATAAGGATATCGTTAGGGTGTCCATTTTTTTAATCGCGATAATTTAAAAACACATTTCAAAACATTTTAACACAACGACACTAAAACTCACGAAAACCTCGGAAGCATTCGGATTAGTGATGGGCAAAACTGTTATTTTTAGATAACAGTTGAAACTGTTATAGTTATTTATAAAAAACAGCTTAAAATAACAGCTTAAAAATAACAGGTTTCTTTATTTTACTGCTAAATATCTGAAAGAGTATGAGGCGGTCATACCTACGCCCTGCCCCTCGATCCGCGTAGATCCTGAATTGCGTAGCAGTGTACAGGGTGCATCTCACTCGACGGGCGAGAAGCTCTTAGTTATGATTTTACCATTTGCGGTCAAAAAATAGCAATATAAGAAAATGTGTAGTATATTCTTCATAAGTAAACCAACTACACACCAGAGTTCGAATTAATTTTACACTTAAACTAGCGTGTACCCGCGACTTCGTTCGCGTCGAATTAATAATTTCTAATGGTGATGATAAAGCAAAACAAGAATTTCCATTAACATACAAACTGGATAAAATTTTCTCACATTTGCCAAAAATAAGCTGTATGATTTTTTAAAAAAATTCAAAATATGTAAAAAACAAAATAAATTATGCGTGTCCAGGCGTTTTCCCGAAAGACTAACCGTTTTTTAAATAACAAATATTGTAATATTTGAGGGGCGTTTTCACCCTGTTGTAATTTGAGATTCGAGAAACCCCTCCTTATCGAACCTCAACCCCACAGTCAATCCGTTTGACAAAAATCAGCTTTAAACGTCAAGCAGTTTAAGCAGAATAGTGATTACTCAATGGTCATATTTTATGAAACACCCTGTATATATTTTTAAACAATCTTAAAATATGTAAAACAACATAATAAAATATACGTGTTTTAAGAGTTTTTCCGAAAAACTCACCGGTTTTTAAATAAAAAATATTCTAATATTTGAGGGTAGTTTCGCCCCCTTACAATTCGAGTTTCGAAAAATCCTTTCTTATTGAACCTCTACACCCTAAAGTCAATCCGTTTTCCAAAAATCAGCTTTTTACGTCAAGGGCTTTAAGCAGGATCGTGATTAATCAATGACCAGATTTTTCAAAACATCCTGTATACATTTTTAAAAAATCTTAAAATATTATTCTGAAAATTTTTCAGAATAAATAAATACCTAAATATTGAAACTTAATAAGTAAGTACTGAGACATACAGCGCCATAATATCTCGACCTCCGCCCGTTATGCTCCTAACAGGTTGAAAAACAATGTATCTAAAACAACTGATGCGTTATTCTCCAACCCGTTGCGAGCCTCCATCGACAATCGACCGATGCAGCAGCGTTCCTTTCCCACTCCTGTTATCTCGACCGCCAGGCGTTATGCCCGCAACTGTTTCAAAAAACCTGCTTCTTTTATATCCTATTATTTTTAAGCTGTTGCAAACCCAATACGACCATCGACGGCATCGACCGAAGCAGATACGTTCGCCGTAGCGCATTCCCCATTCCGTTGTCCGTTGTCTCGCCGCCTGTATCGATGGTTGACGAAATAACATGTTTTCCATCCATACTAGTTGTTTTTTGGAATTGCTTCGAGCAGCATAGAATTTCGTGGCGCTGCAGAGCGCCGACTAAAAAGAAACTTATGGGTGTTCTATGTCAAGAAAATACAATAATTACAACATTACAATACAATAATTTTAACAATAAACAATACCACATGGTACAGGTATAGTCTATAAAATGAATAACTTTGAATTTTGACCGTTATTTTTTACCAACATGACAAATATAAAATCCCTCTGTCAAAAAAGTTACTGATATTCTTTAAGTATTCTTTAAATTGAGTGCCTGAACGAATCAGATAGGTAACTCTTTTTACTTTCGTGAAATAGAAAAGGAAAATAATAAAACAAGTGACAGTTCTTCCTCTTCTTGCAAAAATCAACACGAAATCGCATAATTGTCAGAAGTAAAATGTCATCAGCTTTTGACATTTCTAAATATCAGACCAATGCCGTCTCTAATAGAACAGCCTCGAGCGAGATATATGACGTCACGCTAATTAGATACGGATTGTTGTAGTAGGATGTTGTAGAATACATGGAAAACATAATTATTCCTCGTATTTTTGGTTTGTATTTTAAAAATGATATAGTTTACATGAAATATACAGTTAATAAATATAATATATACCTATTTATAGTAATAAATACTTTGGCAAATAAACTATGAACCATACAAATTCAGCAAATGTTTTATAATATACAAATAATGAATAGGTAGGTACATAAGATAATGGGGAAAATGTAAAATATATTTTAAATTTCGAGGTTTGAAAATCGACCAAATTTAACAAAAAACATTCAATATCTACTAATAGTGATGTATTATTATTTGCATTCACAAAATTTATATGTACATATATTTTGTAAGTATCAATGTTCGAAAAATTATATTTGCAAATAATACAATATCATATAAAAAATGCGTCAGCGATGGCTATGAAATAAAGATCGCTGTCATTTTATAATGTAAAATTATTCTATAAAATTTTTGATTTTCTTGGGATTTAGGTTCGGGAAAAACGCTGATTAAGTTTTCATTTGGTTTTTCATTATTTTTTTTTTTAAAAACGTTTCGGCTAACATTATAGCCTCTCATCAGTGTTGTGTCATATAAAAAAAATAGTGTCGAATATAATCCAAAAATTGCATATAAAATATTCACACCACAAACCACATAATGTTTACTGCAATTAATAAACTAATATAAACTTGTCAAAAGATGACCACATATTTTTTTAAAATTATTATTCTTAACACTAAAACTATCTACATTGACTATGGAGTAATGATTTCAGCCATAGTCAAATATAAGGAATAATTATGTTAGCGTGACGTCATAAATCTCGCTTCGTGGCTGTTCTACTAGAGACGGCATTGCGTCAGCATGGCCGCAGGTTGCTAACCTAATAAAATTAACACTAGAAAAGCCCGCGGGAACTGTCAAATTCAAAGTTATTCGTTTCACAGACTATAGTAAGTAGTAAGTAGTACAAAATATATATAAAACCCTTAACCAACAGTCAATACATATTTACTTAGTAAGACCAAAAACAAAATAAATAAAGCCTTAGACCAATAACCTCTTTCACTTTGTTGGGAATAATTCTTGCTTATCCATTTTCCTTTTATTTTATGGCTTATTTATATGGTCTTTTTATAGAACTACTGGCCTTCTCTGTTCATTTAGAACAATAATTGCTGATGTCTCCTAAAAATAAAAAGAGACTATTTGGCATAGTGTTTTTTTATCATTTCTATTTTACCTACCTTGCTGATTTACTATGATTACAATAATGTTACGTTTTTTTGTCGGTTCCGTGTGGATAGAAAGTCACAATTTATTTAAACACAATTTATTTAACACTAATTAACAAAAACAATAACGATTAAAATACTTAAAGAACTATTTATAACTTATTTACAATTTATCTAATTATTTATCTAACAGAAATTTATTTTGAATTAGCGCGGCGATTGTGTAACTGTACGCGTCGATTGGTTATTTATCTCTGTCCTCCTTAGGCCCCAGGCGTCTGCTTATATAGGAGAGAAACAGACAATCCAGATTTATCTAGTCAATTCTTATTCGTTCTAGAACGTCGGCATCGCTGGGCGTATGAGTCATAGGCGAGTGGCCAAGCCTAAGGCTGAGTTCACACGGCACGGGTCCGCAACAATAATATTTGTAAGTTTTTTCCACATAGTCATTATATTTTCTTGACTTGGCGAATGCATAATTTATCTTGATCTTCTGTTTTTCGTAACACAGTTTAACTTTCCTTTGTAGCAAAGTCATAGGCAAAGATATGCGTTTCCATTAACAATTTTACTTCATGGTTGTTGCAATATACTGCAACTTCCAGAAACTATACAGACTACCATATTTAGAGTACACAGTGGGCAAATAATACGTTTCTTCTTATTATAGTGTTTTTCACAAAATTAAGTGAAACAACACAAATCGTAAATCTTCTTTAAAGTGCTTTTTGTATCGTGAGTTTTAGTGTCGTCTTAACCCGCCATGGCTTAGATATTGAAACTTTTTTTTATTTTGAAGGCCGCATCTTTTACAATATGTTTATCAGAAAAATTCGATAAGGTTGTTTTTTCCATTTAAAAATTTTAAACAACCCATCCATTTACTTTTAGTGAATAGCAATTTTTAGCAATCGTGTAACTTTTTATTTATAAAGATTTTCACATACTGTCTGAGAAGAAAATATAGCAGAAATGATACGAAAGTTTTTGAAAAAACTACAATCAATTATTTCTAATAGATTTCGAGAAATCGACTTTGGAATTTAGAGTTCTAATAGCGCGACCACTGTCGAACACCAACTCGATTCCACTTACCAAAAATGCAAGAGTTTCTAACTTGCACTTAAAAGTTTTTAAGCTATAGAGAAAATTACAACGACTTGTTAATAAATAAACAAATAAAGTATCACGAGACGTAATTAAATCGTGAAGCTGAACGCATGATGTACACCTTTCCCTAGAACTCTAAGTACTGACAGAGGTACTGATTGGGTTGACCCGGTTGACCGGTCGACTGCGACAAATCTGCTATATCCCCTTCCACGTCTCTTAGCAATGCGCACAATTTCTTAGTTTATTTCATACGTTTGGCAACGTGTTTACTGTTCTCTCTTTGTTCGGTACATTATAAACGCATTATACTCTTCTTACATACAGAAATCTCGACCCAAGATTAACGTTTGCCAGCCCTAAGTATTATAACCCCATACAATATAAAATTATAAAGAAAATTCTCCATCTGTATAAATACAGGCTGTTGCAATATCGCGTTGGCGTTGAACTACAGCATATCTTAAGATTTAAACTAAGTTCATTGGACACAATTTACCTCTTACAAAAGTGCTTCGTTTATCCGTTAGGGACAGCAATCAAAAATGAATCCGAACGTTAATTAATTTAAAATTTATGAAGCTTATATTGTCAGTATCATTTGTGATATTAACATAAAATTCCATATTTTGAAAAAGTATGCGCGGTAGCGTTTTTTTTTCAAGAGACAAAAAATGTAAATACTAAGGACCATTTTGCGAAAAGAAAATCAGTCGCCGGTGGGGTTTGAAAATACTTCTACTAAAATTTATGTAGGGATGGGGGTAGCTTTCGCCCTTCGCGTAGTTTTTCTTGATTTTTGGAAAAGTCAAATGTGTCACTTAGCAAAACATAGGCACCTCAAATCTCATTCAATTCGGAATAACTGTTCTTAAAATAAAAGAATGTATTTATTTTTTTAAAACTTGATGCCCCTTAGCTAACAAACAAAGCACTTTTATATTGAAGTAAATTCTGTCCAATGAACTTGTTTTGATTCCAAAAATACGTAGTAGTTCTATGTCCACGGAATATTGGGACACCCTATATATGTATATGGCATACTGATATTTAACGCACTATGGTATAATGTGATAATTTAATTGATTAACGAATACATATAACGCAACTAATTTATAATCACCTAACCAAAGAGAAAAGAGAAAAATTGAATTAAAATAGTTAATTTAACCAACATCTATAATCTACATAAACTGTCATGTTTTTATTTACTTTATATATTTCTCTATGATAAATAGAACGTATTACAAGATCGCCAGTTAAAGTTTATATTAGCCATACAGATATTACCAACACATTTATTAACATGATTTTTTTATCGTTTTTAGTGGTAAAAGAATTCAAGAACTCATAGAAGTTTTAGAGTCGAGGAAATTTGAAGCCATTCAGTTTACTTTCAAACAAGTATCAAAGTTTTTTGCAGAAGTATTTAAAAAGTTGGTTCCTGCAGGCAAAGCTAAATTGGTTATGAGAACAGTTGATAGTGATGAGGGTCGCGATATCACTCCCGAAGATACAAATTCCGATATTTTCCAAGGTATATTTTAGTTTAAAGTTTTCATCTTCTAAGAGAGAATTAAAGGTAAATTAACCGATTTCCAGTGAAGGTTAATTTTAAAGTATATCAAGTAATAAAAGGTAAAGCTATTTTAAGAAATATCACATTGTGATACTTTTGCTTTTGATATATAGTTCCGAATCGATTCAACCCTTGATTCGTCTTTTTGTACTTAATCTGGTTGGAACGACACATTTTTAGTACCTATATATACCTTTTTATTCTAAATTGGTGGTCTGGATTTTATCTTTAAGTCCACAATGGACATTTTTTTTCTTAGATTTGTATATCGCTGCTTTCCGACAAAAGTGACACAAATCAAAATTTTGTGATTTTGGGTTTTTCTAACCCATAGTAATAAAAAATCGCCTTTTTAATGAGTAAAACCGTCCTAATTTAAAATGAAATAAGTCACCGCTAGGTGTCATCCAGACTAAATGTCACTTTTTGATTATTGGAATAAGATTAACATGGAAGACTATTAATTTAGTTGCGTTATGGTTGTGTCGTGACATTTGTGCATATTTGATCATATTTTTTGTGGTAAAACAGTTTAACCCCGCTATCTCGTGATAATCTATCCCGATGAAAAATAAGCTTGTGGCAACATTGGGTAACGATCTGTGCCATATGCGGCTAAGAAAATCACTATAATAAACTTGATATTGTACCAACCTTGTGTGCTAGGAAGTAAATTTTCATGCATATTTTCATCGATAGGTTTGTAGCTTCTGAATAACGATTTAGGTAAAGTATCTAGCTCATTTGCCAGCTCAGAATTAGAATTTAGTAACTCGCATTTTCATTGGAGGACACTGTCATATTTATTTCAAACCAATAATCAACGAGAATATTCGTATAATTTAATAAAATTACTGTAAATCACTATAAATAATGAATTGTTTGTAGCTGAACTGTAATTTCTGTATTTTTAATCCGGCAAATGATGGAGAAAAACAATTGTGATTGAATACAATTTTATTTTAAGATGAAACTTTTCTTAACTCGAATAATCAGTTCATTCGAATAATGACAAGACAAGTGACATCTGTCTAAAAAAAACAGCGATTTCGAGTGACAATTTTGATTATACAAAAGAAATACATATTCTATGAGTTTGCCTAACGATTAACTTTTGGGGATTTATTTTTAAAATTAATTTAAAAATAAATCCCCAACATGAAAAATGAACAAAACATTTAAACAAAAACAGACCACAGACCACACAAAACAAATTGTTGGTTAGTAGCATTTAGTAGTATTCAGAGATATAGAGGTAGTAGTATTTTACTTGCGTCTAGCCGTACTCTGCAACTTTTCAACTCCAACCCACAGTTCCCGCCAAATTTAAATCGTAGGCTATTTTCTTGTCTTTTATTACCTTGTAATTTTCGAGAGTAAGTTTTTAAGTAATAGTAGCATTATTTAACCTAAATTTCAAAAACGTACAAATTATAATAATATATAACAGTTCTACAAAATAGATCGGGTATTTCGCGTGCAAACAAAAAAAAACTTACACCAGAGACTAACTCACGCAATCAAAATATGCCTAACCAACGCAATCCCACAGACCACACAAAACAAATTGTTGGTTAGTAGCATTTAGTCTTTGAATAAGAAGACTAAGGAAGGAGCATAATGCTATCCATGTATTCATGCATGGTGGGCGGAAAAAGGACTCTGGGGTGGGGATCCTTGACAGTTCTGTTTGACTAACCAACGCAATCCCACAGACCACACAAAACAAATTGTTGGTTAGTAGCATTTAGTCTTTGAATAAGAAGACTAAGGAAGGAGCATAATGCTATCCATGTATTCATGCATGGTGGGCGGAAAAAGGACTCTGGGGTGGGGATCCTTGACAGTTCTGTTTGACGATTCATTTGACACATTTGAATTTGATTTGAAATTTTGTGGATTTGTCAGTCTTTACGGAGCTTATTTTATGCTATTTATTATTTATTCTACTACTGATAGTTGTATAAAGGTAGTAAATCTAGATGGAAATTGTGGCAGAACTTAAATTAACAGTGACACTATCGCGATTTATCGAAAAAGACTCTAAAATAGTTGGTTGTGTAGCATGCGGTAGATCTCGGCAAAAATCGAGTGAAATAATCGAACAATTTTTCGCTAGTAAGTGACTATATAATATACATACGTGTAGTAAACCGATCATTTATGAAATTCACTTAAATTAACTAATTATATATTTTTTCTTGCATTTTTGCTTTTATTTACTACTTGTCAAAGACTAGATGTCAAAAAATGTAGATACCTCAATTTGACTTATTAGGGTGCATCCACACTACTCCTAAAAACGGCGTATAGGCGTAACGGCGTAACGACCTTAAATCGATTTCCAGTAATTCTATTGGCTGCAATTTTTGACAGATAAAATTTCTGACAGATGAATTTTTCAGCCAATATTAAAACTTATCTGTTTTTATTATAATAATATGTTATTATAACAATTTTAATAACTACCAACATTTATTCACAACGTAAAAGAAAAATAGTCCACCACACGTCTACCCTACATCATAGTTTTACATTTTTTAAATAAAATTAGAACGGCACTGATAAACCGGAATTTAAGTCGGCCATATTTGAGTCCCATCGCGGATGGCCCTAATATTTTTGATATGCTCCTTCCTTAGTGTTCTTATTCAAAGTATTTAGTAGTAGTCAGAGATATAGACGTAGTAGTATTTTACTTGTGTCTAGCCGTACCGTGCAACTTTTCAACTCCAACCCACAGTTCCCGCCAAATTTAAATCGTAGGCTATTTTCTTGTCTTTTATTATAACCTTGTAATTTTCGAGAGTAAGTTCTTAAGTAATAGTAGCATAATTTAACCTAAATTTCAAAAAACACTTCTATAAAATCGATCGGGTATTTCGCGAGCAATCTATAAACAAAAAAAACTTACATCAGAGACTAACCCACACAATCAAAATACGCCTAACCAACGCAATTAAAATACACCTACGGCGTATTTTAGTAGCTCTTACCGACAGATCTAAATAAATAAAAAAATAAAAACAGCTTTAAAAAATAAAAACAGCTGTAAAAAAATAAAAGAGTTCTACCTCTGCCGGGGATCGATCCACCGTACCGTTGCTCCCGAAGCGGCAGCCTCAACCACGAAGCTACACGCTGCTTTCGAAACCAGACTATATGAAGCATTACTTTCTTCTGCCGTTCCAATAAGCATGCGCTGGAACCATGGGTTGAAGTTGAAGAGTTGCACGGTACGGGTAGACGCCAATGTAGTTTTTCGGTTTAATGGCCGCAGCTGCCAGGATATCCTGCCGAGTTATAGAATTATCGTTTTTTGATTAAAAAAACATTATATAATTATAACGCTAGAATAGTATACGGTTACTCTAATTTTTTTGAAGTTTATAAAAAGCATTTATAAAAAATATATCCTTCAATTTAATAGCTATTAGTAAGAAGTTTCGCTTCAAATATGCGCACATAGTGCACACACAATTTTTTTTAATATTCAATACTTAACTTTTTAAAGGCAATATGTATTAAAAATGTACTTAAAACTTAAAACTATACTTATTTACTATTACCCAATTTTAAAGATTAGTTAAAAAATGATTGTGGAAGAAAGCATAACATGATTCAAAAATTTTCTATTGCCTCTACTGTAAAGTTTATTAATTTTGAGTTGTGCCGCTTTTGTCGGAAAGCAGCGATATGCGATAGCCTTATGAAAGGTTGAAAAAATATTCAGAGTACTCGGTTATAGCGGATGTAGAAATCTTGGTAATCTGAACTTAAGTGATTAATACAAGAAACTTATATTTTAATTTCTGTATAGGTATTGGGGTCAGAATATCATTTACTGACGCGGATGTGGAAATGAAGGAAATGAACCAACTTTCAGGAGGCCAGAAATCTCTAGTCGCCTTAGCTCTCATATTCGCCATTCAAAAATGCGATCCCGCACCATTCTATTTGTTCGACGAAATCGATCAAGCATTAGATGCCCAGCATCGTAAAGCGGTAGCTAATATGATCCACGAACTGTCCAAGGATGCCCAGTTTATCACCACTACCTTCCGACCCGAACTGTTGGAACATGCGCACAAATTCTATGGTGTTAAATTCCGAAATAAAGTCAGTCACGTCGAATGCGTTACTCGAGATATAGCTAGAGATTTCGTCGAAGACGACCAGACGCATTGTTAGAGAGTAATTTATTTTATAGATTGTATAATATCGGTTTTAGGTAATTTTTTATAAGTTAGTAGATATCGTTATGTAGTAAATTTTTAAGGTCAGATGAGATAAATAGGTTTCATAATCAAGATGGGTACTGATTGAAGAAAAATAAGTCACATGTATTAACTATTTACATATATAAAATCGTGTACACGATCATTCCTGATCAGAGCTGTACCTCTTCACCAGCGGGCACCTATACATATATAGATATAAGCTCAAAAGGTATCCAATAAATCAATAGATATTCTATAAGAGAAATAGAGCCCACTCTAGTAAGTATTGTATTTATTAAGAGTGGGTCCCAGGTTCCACTGCGGCCGCTAGGGTCTATTGTAGCTCAGTTTACAAACTTAAAAAAATATTAAAATTTACCCGTAAGACCCAACCTTTTAATATGGTTTTTAGGTCAGAGAGGAGTATATGTCCCCAAAATCTAATAAGTCTAGCATGATTTTGCCAAACAAATGAAACCTGGACCTGCTCCCAGCAGCGGGGCAGGTACACATAACGTGCTTCATAGTTTCGTCACTTTCCATACAAGAGAGAGATTCAGTATGTTCCATTCTGGGACTGTCATTACAGTTTTGAAACGTTCTGCACCTAACAAATTCACAGAGCCGGTCTCTTGCGAAATTTTTTGGAACGTTAAATGTCTGTTCTGGACCCACGAATGACATGCTTGTACTTGTTTTGGCGAGGGAGTCAGCACATTCGTTTCTCTTTAGGCCGACTTGTCCTGGCATCCATATCAACGACACTTTCTTCCTATCTCATAGAAAATTGAGTAGTTTTACAATAAAGAATCGTCATGGACGTGCATTTTGTTGCTTCAGGCGGTTTCAACGCGGCTTGACTATGCGAAAATATGTTTATTGTTTCCCGTTGTATTGGCGCTCTACCAGCAGGTGCACATAGGCTTCAATAGCATAAATTCCAGCGCCGACGCCGTCGGTGGAGTTGGAAAATATTTATATTTCCCGTACATTTTCTTGGTTTTTTAAATGTCAAATGTGACCTTAGCAAAACATAGACACCCAAAATCTCATTCAAATCGCAATAATGGTTCTTAAAATATCTGAAAAATGTGTTTATTTTTTTAAAGTTTGATGCCCTCTAGTAACGAAGCACTTTTGTATCGAGGTAAATTGACCAATGAACTTATTTTCTTTCCAAAAAACGTAGTAGTTCTATGTCCAAGGAATATTGGGATACCCTGTATAATTCAGTATCCATCTGTAGAAAAACTTAAAAGTTTAAAACGAGTTTTTTACTCAAATAAAAATGCTTAAGCGCACAAATGTACTCCGCTAGTATAGGTTTAGTTATACCGTATGATCGAATAAAAACGGCGTCAGCGATGGAATGAAGATCGCTGTCATTTTATAATGTAAATGTATATGGGAAATGTCATAGATCGTCACTTCCAAGCCAACTGGACGCCATTTTTTTTCGATCATACGGTATTATTTAGAGGTTTCATGAACATTTAAATAAATAAGATTTTATGAAATTGAAGGTGTTTTACTGAAAAATGACAAGTTATTGCAGATCTTCAAATGGTTTGTTTTACGAATACCTTGCTTTTGTCCATAGTATTCTACATTATTTTCTAGGATGCAACATAAGGCGTGAGATAGGCAAGTAAGTCGATATATTTAGAGCTTATCCCGCAACCCTACTTGCCACGTTCTACTTATACAGTGTGTTTCAGAAAACGTGTGCCATCAAGTCTCGCAACACAATTCTTCCACTATAGAAAATTGTAAGATCTCCTGTAAAACCAAATTTATTTTAATTTTTCTTATAAATTGTTAGTAGTAATATTTACCCAAAAAATTTATTTTTTAGATCGATATAGTTCTGATTTTGCATTGTTTAGTAGATACAGGTGGATAAAGTCTCAATTTTTTTTGATTATAATTTTCGTTCAAGTGCTTTTAGCTATTCGAATGAAATTTTGAGGGTAAAAGTTATATAAGTGCGACATATATGTATATTTTAATGCTAAAAAGTGTCGATAAATTCGCCAGGTACGTGCATATGGGATATCATTAGTAATATAAGGAATTATTAATATTGAAATATTTTGGTAAAAAAATATGTGCGCCACTGACTTTTCTTTTGTGAGCAAAATTGTGTAGGCTATTTAATGCGGATCAAAAGTTGCCAATCAAAAACATAGAATGTAAAAAATGCCAAATGTCGCAACACAATAATTCTTCCACTATAAAAAGTTAAACCATGTCAGTTTATTTTATTTAGTTTCCACTTAAGCATCTAGTTAACAGTTTTATTATAAATTGTTAGTATCAATATTAGACATTTTTATTTTTGTAATACTTATGACTTGGCAATTGCATAATATGATATTCTACTAATTAAAAAACTTTATTCTTACTTAAGAATAACTCCCTTCACCGAACACCTTTTGGCGAGTTGTCGACCAGCCTGTCTGCCTCTGCACTTGCCAGTGGCGGCTCGTGACTCGTGTGACTGGGTAGGCGACAAAATTTTAGTTGCGTCTATTTGCCTCCCTTAATTTACATAATACCCTAGCAAAGTTTGTAAATATATGTTATCTCTGGGTTAAAAACATAGCTCAAAAATATTTTGACAAAACTAAAGCAAAAATATTTTTTTAGTTTTTATTAATCTATTTTATCTATTATTTTTTTATCTATTACTATGGATTCACTATGGAGTACATCTATCACTGAGTGCGCCGAGACGACGACCATTCGTGCCATGAACCTTGGTACGTCTGATGTCGAGGATGGAGACTTGGCTTTTGTTAAAGCTCTTAGAGTGTATGATGAGTTATAACTCGTAATAACTCAAGAAAGGGGAACACACAATAGATCTATAAGGTCGCGGTGATTAACTCCTCTCCTAAACATTCTACATTCTACATGGACTACATCATAGAATTTTATTTTATTTTTATTAAATAAATAAAATTCTAGTAGTATAGCAAACTTAAAAATTGGTACTATTGAGAGAAAGAATAATAATTATGTTTTATACAGGGTTGTTCACCACATACGACACGGAATATTGTAGCTAAACGATTAGATTTTTACAAATTTTAAGTTTTGGGTTCGGTGAAGGACTATTAGAGCTACAATTTAAAAATATTTTTACAAGTTAGTGTAAAAATTATACGAGTATTTTTACGAGTGTCCCAAATAAATAAAAAATATCAAAGTTGTATTTTTTTAAATGGAACACCCTGTATATTATCACATTTTTAGTTTCTACGATTAAAATAAAGGTAAATTTGATTAAGATTTATTACACTTAAACCTTACCGTTTTTGAAATATTTTCAATTTTGTGAAATTGCAGTATAAATTTTAAGGCTTCATTTCTCCGAGGGTATCAAAGTTTTTAATACTAAATATTTACTGAAGTTTATTTATTGGTCAGTTATTGTGTTGCAATAATAAAAATTTTACTACCTTATACAGAGTGTCTAAATATTTATTTTAAATAATTATTAGCTTTAAACGGCAATAACTTCTTTAATTTAAATGGAACACCCTGTATATTTTATGAAAATGAGATGCACAATTTAATTGTCTATCAAATTGTATTATACCATTTTTTACCTATCTCTTCAAGCTTCCGTAGAAAATGCATTTTCTGGTAATTTAGAACGCATTTATCAATAAACCCATGGAATACTAACATTTTAGATTATTTTTAAAGATGTACCAAATTTTTAAAGAGTACAGATCCTAATATTCTCAATATAGTTCATTTATTTCATTAAAAATATAAAAAAAAACTGTTTAAATATTTGTTAAAGAGGACCAGTTAATATGATTCCAGTATTCAAACTACATTAATTGACTGTTTGCGTTGATTAATAATAATTGCTCCAAATACTAAAAAACTGAATTATTTATGTGTATTAGATAGTGTGGTAAAAAAAACTAACCTAAAAAAAACCTAAAACACCTTAAAAATGATATTTCATTTTTTGACAAATACTTATTTATAACGACAGAGACGTTCATTTTCATAACTTATTATTATATTGATTTCTGATTCAAATCCACATTTATTTAGAATAATTTATTAACGAACACAATCAAGTATTTAATTAATTGTTCGTATTTTGGCGGAAATACTGGTGGTATATTTAATTAATGGAATACTCTTTTATAAAAATTTAAATAGTTTTCTTTTTGCATACAAATGGGCTAGTAATATCATAGTTTTACTAAAAACGATAATATTACTAGCATGTACATTTCGTACATTTGTTGTTTTAAAAACAATCTAAAATGCCATAATATTCCATGGGTATATTGATAAATGAGGTCTAAATTATAAGAAAATGCATTATCTACGAAAACTTGAAGGGATAGGCAAAAAGTGCAAATTGTGCATCTGATTCTCATAAAATATACAGGGTATTCCATTTAAATTAAACAAGTTATTGCCGTTTAAAGCTAGTAATTATTTAAAATAAATTTTTAGACACTCTGTATAAGGTAGTATAATTTTTATTATGGCAACACAATAACTGATCAATAAATAAACTTCAGTAAATATTTAATATTAAAAACTTTGATACCCTCGGAGAAATGAAGCCTTAAAATTTATATTGCAATTTTACAATATTGAAAATATTTAAAAAACGGTAAGGTTTAAGTGTAATAAACCTTAATTAAATTTACTTTATTTTAATCGTAGAAACTAAAAATGCAATAATATATAGGGTGTTCCATTAAAAAAAATACAACTTTGATATTTTTTATTTATTTGGGACACTCTGTATCTTGTAAAAATATTTTTAAATTGTAGCTCTAATAGTCCTTCAACGAACCCAAAACTTACAATTTGTAAAAATCTAATCGTTTAGCTACAATACTCCGTGTCGTATGTGGTGAACATCCCTGTATATTAAATTGATAAGTCGGTCTCTTAATAAAGAAAAGTTATTTATTATTATATACAGGGTGTTTCAAAACAAATGCGAAAAACTTCAGGGGGCGATTCCTTGTTCAAAATAAAGGGTAGTTTGCTTCATAAACGTTGGGTCAAAAGTCAACCATTAGGGAGATATCGCGGTACAAAGATGGCGGAAAAATAATGTTTTTATTTTTTATCTTGAAAACGAAAAGAGATAGTCTAATGAAATTTTATGGGAGCATTACTGTTACGAAAACACACTTTCTGGTAATTTTTTCACTTTTTTAAAATGAGTGGAAGGGGTTGAAATAAACTACCCTTATCATTCTTGTTAACGACATTTAAAGAAAAATCTTATCAAACACATGCAAAAAAATTGATTTGGATAGCTTGGTTTATTTAGAAACTTTTTTATCTCTTGTGTTTCTTTGATAAAACTCGCCGATTTGAAATTAAAAAATAACATGTAAAGCATTACATGTCAGGATCAAATCATTTTTAGATAAAGAATCTAGTGATAATAACGATAATAATAAGAATCTAGATAATAACGTATTGCAGTAGAGTAATGTCAATAAAATAATATTAGAAACATCCTAAAAAGTGACAGCGGCCGACTAGATTTTTTCCTAAAAGAATTAGAGCAGCCAAAGAGCAGCCCACTAGATTCTTTATCTAAAAATATTTTTTGTCCTGATATGTAATGCTTTACATTTTATTTTTTAATTTCAAATTGGTGAGTTTTATCAAAAAAACACAAGAGATAAAAAAGTTTCTAAACAAACTAAACTATCCAAATTAATTTTTTTGCATGTGTTTGATAAGCTTTTTTTTTAATTTCGTTAACAATGATAGGGGTAGTTTATTTCAACACCTTCCACTCATTTTAAAAAAGTGAGAAAATTACCAGAAAGTATGTTTTCATAATAGTAATGCTTCCATAAAATTTCATTAGTCTATCGTTTTTCGTTTTCAAGATAAAGAATAAAAACATTATTTTTCCGCCATCTTTGTACCGATATCTCCCTAATGGTTGACTTTTGACCCAACGTTTATAAAGCAAACAACCCTTTATTTTGAACAAGGAATCACCCCCTGAAGTGTTTGGCATTTGTTTTGAAACGCCCTGTATAAGGCAAGTGGCGATAAACGTTTATTTTTCATGGAACCTCTACTATAAATTTTAATGCATTTCAAACATGAAAATTGTTTCTCAATCCAAGTATTTGTAAATGGTGTAGTAACAAACAAAACAAACAATTTGAAAGCCTCTGGGAATATACAGGGTGTCTCAGATTTTAATCGGGAAAATTTAATAGACGATAGAACTTGCAAAAATAAAACAAAAGTTCATATCAACTTGTAAGATTTAAAGCTTCCTTTTCGAGATACAGGGTACCATTAAAATACCAATTATAACATTAATTACCAATTAGAATTTAATTTTTTTCACAAGAGGTAAGCAAGATAGACAAAAAAAGTCAGGAGATAAAAAAATAATATTTTTAATTACTAAATCTAAAAATAATATTAAACTTCTAAAAAAGCAGTGGCGTGCCTATTTTTTCCTTTAAAATAGTTTAACAG